GAAGTTGCTGGACTTCGATGCATTTAGCAACTTTAAGAGACGAGACGTCATCATCTTCGGCTGGAAGGAAGGTGTGGAGGGTTTTCGCCAAGGCCAGCAGTCTCTCGAGGACCAACGCGTCGATACCATCGTCCATTATAGGGAAGGTGGCTTTCGCTAAAAGCGCACTATGGAAGGTGAGGGCCGACTCGTTTTCCCCCTTCCGTCGCATGGCGAATTTGTGGTGCGTGTTCGCCGGAGGCTCGTAAATAGACGCCATCTGGTCGAAAGCTGACGTCGGAGAGCCGGGATGTCCATCGGCGCCGACAGCGCGTATTCAATTTTAGCGGGCTCCGCGCCGGTGACAAAATGGCAGCCGAATGCGCGGGCTGCACCGCCGAGTTTCCCGCCTGCTGCGAAAATAGCGGTGGAGTCGCCGTCCACGAGCGGCATTGCCGCTCCCTCTTTCACCTGGTGATCATGGGATTGATCTCCGCGAGGAGCGAAGCCGTAGCGTAGAGGAGCTTTGCGAGGCAACTGTGCGCCTCCCGGAGGGTTGCCTCCGCCAACAGAGAAGCGTCGAGCGGCCGGCTGGCGCCCTGCTCCGCTGGCAGCATCTGCCCCGCATCTTCCAGAGCTGTAGGCGGCACGAGGTCCTCATCCTCGCTGTCCGACGTCCTGGCACGTGGTCTGTGACGTGTAGACATAGTCTACTGCTAGCTGTATAGACTAGCGTGTTGGCCACTTCCGACACCAGTTGTAATTAGTCCAACTGAGTCGCAGACATTATTTAGAGGCAACACATTTATTTATCATCAACATGTTAACACAAAGAGGTAACTGCCCCTTTACCAGATACAGCCTAGGGTGGTGACCACCCAGCTAACTCCACTATACATCGCAGTTACAGCTACGAAGGATCGGGCCCTCATTTGGGTCCCCGACCGTGTGTTGATGCCTCGTAGGACGTATAGCTTCCAGGTTGTAGACGTAGAGCTTCCAGCTTGTCGAATGCAGTGCCTCCGGTCCCTCTCAGGGTCCCACCTTATATCCTCTCGGGTCGGGGCCGCTCCGCCCTCGGCCCCGCCCACCTTCTCGAGCGTTCTAGCTCCCTCTCAATCCCTCTCGAGAGCTCTCCCTGGACACATGATTACCCCCTAGCCCGCCCACCTGGGGCCTTCTCTGTAGACACTCCAGATCACTTGTCTATGGGGTCAACCAGAGTGCCATGGCCCGGGGCAACCCTGCCTCTGGGCTGACACTCTCCCGCTCCCCCTTGTGGGAGCCCTACTACAATGCTATGTGTGGTGTCCGTGCTATTCCAGCACTCACCAAGCCCCGCTAGGGCTGGTCCTACACTCGCCTACAGGGTGTACGCGATGACGGTGCATCGCACACCGTGCTATGCTAAAGCCGGCATCACACAGCAACTCACCGGGTGGTGTCCGCGATGTTAGGACATCGCACGCCACGGCCCTCCCGGTCTGGCACCATACAGTGACATACCCGATGTCACTACAGTACAACAAAACAGCAATAAATGTAAGAGCTCTTTGGGGCAGGCGACATCATCGCACGCCTTGGGGCGCCTCCCCTCTCCACAAAGTAATTACGCGTGACATCACCTCACGATGTCGTGCGCATGTAAAGTCATCTCGTGTGGCTTAGAAGGTAACTCATTGCATTTAGACAAATGCGTGTTTGCAAGTATTACAGAAGCCATGCATGTGCATGTTTTTTCTTCCGTATTTAAGGAACGATTGTTAGTGATAAGGCTATGAGTAATTCCTCAAAAGGGAACTCGTAAACGGTTCACTCGTTGCTTTAGAACCGCAACAAAGGGCAGACACGTAACCTTTTATGGTTATGGTTACAATAACCAGCTTTAATAGGCTTGTATGTAAATCCAAGTTGGGTATGGCATTATAAATAATTTTACATAGTGTTTTGTGACCAAACTTTTTTTTATAGCTGAAGCTCTACTGACCGATATAACATATACAAAACAATTATTAATCTCTTGCAGTTATTGCTGCTCGTTAATACTCTCCACACAAGGAGAGTCTAAAGTTTCCACGCTTCTTTGTTAAAGCTCAACAATCAAGAGAGCCACACTGGCAGGCTTAGAAGTCGTTTGTATACGTTTTATTAACCACCCCTCCGTGTTCACCAACTTATATCGGATGCCCATGAGATGGTAACAAATATCCAGATTTTGCGTGTATAAAACACACATGTGTTTGTGCATGTGTAGTGGCATACATTACTAATGTAGCAGCATGGCACTGGCTGCTGGTACGGAAGGGGATCTGTGGCTAACAACAGCCCTGACGTCAGCAGGCCACGTGACACACCAGAGGGGTATCTAGGTGAAAGGTCACAGAAGGGGCACACCAAGAACAGTTGGTAGGTTCTGGAAAGGGGTCGTGGCTGGGGGCGGAGCCAGGCCACGCTGACAGTATAAGACGGGCCCCTGTGGGGGACCTCGGGGCTGTCGTATGGAGTGGGATCCCTGTCGTGCTGCTGAAGTCTTCACCATTCTTCTCGTCGTCTTCATCCTTCTTGTCATCGTCTCCATCTTCACCATCTCGGGGCGTCACCAGTCAGGCGTTACTCAGTCAGGACCAACTGTCCTGACTGAGTAACGTCACTGATCATAGATGGACTTATTATAAAAGTGTTAACCTCGATGGTGCTTGTTAATAAACAAGTGCCTCCAACTCTTAGTGTCTCCGAGTTAGTCATACACATGCATATGTAACGCCTAATTATCATTCATGTACTCATTTAATTAAGGTCTGAGTATTGTAATCACAGTATGTATGGTCTCTCATTTACAAGTTTCCACTCATCGAGGTCGTTGGGGCACCATGTTTGGAAGCTTAGGTTGTGATCTGTGGTTAACTCCTTCCAGTCTGAAACGTTCTCAATCAAAGTCATCCTTGGGGACCTTCTGTTACGAGTCTTCTTGATGGTCGCTTGTAGGATCGTTTTGGATAGGTTTCTGGATTGATGTCTACACAACTTACGTTTTTTTTCTATTCACAGTGGTTATAAGTATTTAATTATATCCAGATTTAGTAGTAACTGTGCTCCATACACATTCACTAGTCTTGTGTGATTTATACAATTTTAAAATGTTTATTTTATTTTTATAGCCTGTATTATTTTATCATCAGAAATGTGTACATAAACTAAATTAAAACTTTTTATTTTACCATGTAAGGCCCACTGAGCGATATTGATCTTTTTCAGAAACGACCTGGCTACAAATGATAGCTCAATGAATTTGCTTATCATGTGGAAATTTATAGCAGCCAAGTATTCCCAACGCATGTTTATAATTGTGGAGGGAAAAACCTAAGAAAAATCCATGTGCCCACGGGGAGGACATGCAAACTCCAAGTATACAGGGATCCGGGTTGAGATCAAACCCACGACCTGTATAACAGGCGAGGTGGTTAACATCTTCCCACTTTTGTCTACGTAACAATAAGTGTGGCAGTGTTTGTAATGAATTGGGGGAGAGTGGGCAGTGTTTAAGGACTTACTCATTGGGTTTGCATATTTAACAACAGGGAGTGTTTTTAGGGTACATAGTCATTGTTGATGGTGGGAGCGATAGGCGTGTGCAATGTGTGTATTGGACTAGCAAGAGCATTGAGAGTCTGGCACGGTCTGGCACAGCTAGGACCTTTCGGGGACCAAAGGGCATTTAATCATATTTAGGGGCCGCTTTTCAAAGTGTCTCCCTGCCAGATGGAGTAATAATGGGTTGGCACATCTTTCTTAGAGCCAATGCCAGAACATCTACATTCCCATAGTGGAAACCAGGTTCCATAGACTGACTACTATTGACTACCCAAAAAGTAGTCCTAGTTCTATGACTCCAGTGGGATTATAGGGTAAGGCCCCTGACTGATTTAAACGTATGACCTTAAACCATAAAAGGCACTCCCAAGTCTGAGTTGTATCTCATTGTTCAGCTGAAGTGTCTTTTCCCTGCATTAGATTTTCTAACTGAAAAAGGTAAAAATGTTGAGTCATATTTGCTAACCACAGTGCCACGAGGCTATAGTTTTTTTTAAATATGAACAAATCTGTATTGAGTGTGGGGACGCGAATAGACAAACTGCTAGCTTCAATAACCTGTGCAGCTCGCGAGGCTCCATCCTGTGGTGCTCCACAAGGCTCCATCCTAGTCTCCTGCTCTTCTCAATATTGACATCATCTCCAGCTTTATTAATGTTGACCATCACGCCTGTGCTGATGACACTGGCTCATCATTGCCATTGACTTGACTGCGATACACTGCACTACTCCTTACGCGGTTGTCTGGCTTGATCACCTGAATGTGAAATTCTGGTTGTTAGTCTGCATCTACGTCAGCCATACAAAAGAGAGATTGCCATTGACTCCGTTAACTTAATCTCTTTATCAAATCTCGGATCCAGTAATGACGCAGTCATGTCCTCAATTCCAAACTCCGTGAATTTTTCCCTGACCACCTCAACCCTCTCATCTCACTGCTGCCCTGCCTGTCTTCTCCTCCCTCACCTCTCCCCTCCCCTCCCATCTTACTGCTGCCCTTCCTGTTCTGTCCTCCCTAACCTCTCCCCTCCCATCTCACTCTACTCCCCTCCACATACACTCTCTGCTCGAGCAACCAATGCTTACTGTGGAAGCTTCCAGTCAATATTTCAGTGGAAGATAGCTCATTCTCCACTGTTGGCCCCAGAGCCTAGAACTACGTTCCCCCTGCCATCCATGCTCTCGACTTCCTTGCCTCTTCAAATCCAGGTTTAAGGCCTTCCTTTTTTCCTCTGCTGATAAATGTGTCTGCAAAATAGAAATGCCCACTGTTTTTGTACAGAATCGTGAGATGCTGTTGCAAGTTGTGATACGAATCCAATCTATGTTGTCTTATTAACATTGTATTCTGACTGTATTTTTTTGTTGGCGCACGTGATGATGAAATCTGTTTTGTCCCAACGTTTTTACTCGTCTTCTTGTTTCGACAGGAACAAGATAGGAACCAGGTGCACTTGCCCAATTACTGTGTGTGGTACGGAGAGTGTGGATTGAATCCACAAACCCAGAAGGCTTACAACTGCTTCTACAATGGCACGGCTAAGCCTCTTCCTCACGAAGGCTACGAACTCCTCAAGGTAAATGGCTGCACCAACAAATCTGGCTGTCCTCACATAATGGGGGAAATTAAATTCGCCGTGAGAATCTGTAATAAGGCAGAGTAGCTTACTCTTTTGTTTTGGTAACATATTGAACACCGAAGGAGATGACTTTTTGTGTATTTTCTTAACACCAAAGCGAAATACGGTATGTTCTCCTATAAGGCGCCAGTTGGGTACCTGAAGAACACCTTCACCTGAAGACGGCTGCTTGCGTTGTAGCCGAAACGTCGTGAGAATTATTTTATAATGTTTTATTTTTATTTTATTACTTCCCTTCTACGTGACTTTACCGAAAAAACCAAGAAGATGAACACCTTGTTATGAAAAAAATTGCGTTATTATAAATACAGTAGACTCGATTATCTAATGATGGTGAGGACAGCCGCGGATTATTTCTACATCACAGGACCACGAGATATCAACAGATTTCAGAGGCCTTCCTCTAGAAGTGGATTGATCATGGCTGATGATTTGTTTATTAAGGTCTTAAAGAATATGACTTAACTTTCGTGACTGCAGGAATTCATATTCTTTGGGTCTTTCGGTAAAGCCACGTAGATAGAAAAATATGACGTTTTGACCGCAATGCAAGCAATCGTCATCAGGTGAAAAAATAAGGAGAGAGCTGCTGAGGCAGGATGTTATAAAGGTTTTAGATGGGTGTAGCCCAAGGGTCATAAGCGAAGTGGGCGGGGCTAGTGATAAAATTTGCATGTAAATGTAAGATCGGAGAGAGCTGGGCAACCTCCACGACTACGAAGCTGCGGAGGTGGCCCTTGTATTGTGAGAGATTAGTATGTCAATGTAAGATCGTAGAGCCACCGCCACATCAAGGAAAACGAGCAACGGTGGCTGTGTTAGTGAGACATTTAACCTGTTAATGTAACGGCATTTAACCTGTTAATGTAACACCAGAGAGTCGAAAATAACTACTAAACATCACAGCCAGTTATGACTTAGCCTGGTTAATAACGTCCTTCCAATGATTGCTCAGTTTCTACCCATCTTGGTTGAAATTGTGTCTGTGTTTATATATCTGGATGGCTTCATGAACGAATCTTTGCTGATAGCCAGTGGGTTTGCAGAGTACCTTCGTCTTGGAAAAATCTATTTAGTTTGTGCCCACAGCGTTAAAACAATGATCACCCACCGTGTTTCAGATCTGCCTTATGTTCACGAACACGGTCAGAGACATGTCGCTTAGTTTCCCCAATGTAACTACTGCCACAGACACAGCTTAGTTTGTAGATGCCGGGGTATTGCATGTCAGGGATCATATCCTTTACAGATGGGATCATATCACAAATTTTATGTACTGTGTTGAATCAAACCTGGATATTGTGTTTGCTCAAGATCTTAGAAATATTTTTGACCCCTGCTATGTATGGCAAGGTGATGGTTTTTATTGGTTCGTCAGATGGTTCTTTCCCAACGGTTGGGGTGATAGCTTTATGGATTGTGTAGTCTGAATATCCATTCATCTTGAGGGCTTGGTGTATGTGTTCCAGTTCACTGGCTAGGTGGTGATGGTCAGAAATACATCGAGCTCTATGGTGTAGAGTTTTGATGAGGGAATTCTTCTGGGATGGATGGTGGTGGGAGTGAGATTTTAGGTAGGCACATCCATATGAGTGGCTTTCCTGTAGACAGTGTCCCATTGAGCCATCTGGTCTCTTCGATTAAACATCCAAGAATGGTAACTTGCCGTCCTTTTTCCACCTCCATGGTAAATTTGATGGTTGGGTGTGTAGTAAGTATATGGGAGGCTTGACGACAGGATCGGAGGCACACTTGTTTATTACACCAACACAGTAATTACAGGTCACTTTGGCTACAGGGATTGCACGACAGCTAACCCCTCTAACCTATGCCAATTCCTCCACTACGGGGCTAGGGGAGGCTATCTGTCCCAGCCTGGTTAAGCTGGGATCCCGGCACCCTGAGTCACCAGACCAGCTTAGTCTGGGCTCTCGGGGCCACGCCACCGGCTTGCCCTGGTCGGCCCTTATAAGGACAGCGAGCCAGGGGAGCTCTGGGGCCTATTCTAGCAGGTCTTCCTTCTTCTCTGGTTAAAGCTGAGCCCCGACCTCGAGCCCTCGAGCTCATCACCTTTTATAGGACTCACCCCCGAGGGGGGGCCCGTGGGGGATGCACATGCGGACGTCGGTGCGAGCGCCACCCTTGTGTACGGCCGTAACCCCGCCCCTTGTGTTTGTTGGCCATCCGTGGCCATGCATAATCACACCTCAACATTCGTAGCCATGCGCAATTACACCTCTACAGGTGTATGGAATTGATGTGGTTGAGGAATTGGTTCAGAGCTGGTCGGCCATGTGGCCAGATGACGAACGTGTCATCTACGTACCTCTTCCAAAAGGAAGGACGTAGGGTGGATGCCTGGATGGCATCTGTCTCAAAATTTTCCATAAAAATATTGGCTACAACTGGAGATAAGGGAGAACCCATTGGGGTACCTTCAACTTGTTTGTAGAATGTTCCATTCCAGGTGAAGTATGTGTTGGTGAGGCAGTGTCTAACCAGGGTCGGTACATCAGCATTCAGTCCTTATTGGACCAAATCTTCAATGATTGCGATGGTATCAGGAACAGGAACTTTGGTAAACAAAGATACTACATCGTAACTGACAAGCAAACCACCCTGGAAATAGTGAGATGTCCTTAATTAACAATACCAAGTGATCTGAGTTGAGTACAGCTGAGGTGGTATTACCAGTGAATGGTTGTAAGGTCTCGGACAGAAATTGGGCCAGTTTGTAGGTGGGTGAGTCAATGGTGGAGATGATAGGCCGAAGTGGTGTATCTTTTTTATGGATTTTTGGTAAGCCATAAAATCTGGGTGGTCTAATAATAGCAGAGGGTTTCAAGGAAAGCCGCTCGGTTGGTTCGATTTAACGATGTCGAATCAGTGATTATATTGTTGGTTTTCATAACCAGGCGGTTGGTGGGATCTCTTGATTTTGGTATAGCTACCATCATTAAGTAGGTACTGAATTTTGTTGTTGTATGTCGTTTTGTCCATGATGAGTGGCATTGCCCTTGTCAGCTGTGAGGATGACTGTCATATCTCTTTTTTTAGTTGAGAAAGCTCAAAGCACTCATCTTTACTGAGGTTGCTAATAGGTGTCTTAGCGTTTTTGAGGATTGCAGCGATTTCCGATCTTGCCATGTCTGCAGGAATGTGTCGCAAACCCTTAAGGGCTACGTCAACCTGGGCAATGATATCATCAACTGGGATGTGTTTAGGGGTGACTGCGAAATTCAACCCTTTAGCTAGAACCGATTTTAGGCTGTCGGAATATTGGGTTGTTACTCTGATGGATAACAATCTTGTCACGTCTAACTTTTTAACCTTTATAACATCCTGCCTCAGCAGCTCTCTCGCTATTTTTTCACCTGTGACGATTGCTTTCGTTGTGATAGAATCATCGTGATATTTTTATAATTTTTTCTATCTACGTCGCTTTACCGAAAGACCCAAAGAATATCTTAAAGAATATGTATTTCAGGTGGTGAGTACCGACTGAGTGTGACAAACATTCGGGAAGCAGCGTCGTGGGGTAACACTGAGCGCGTGTGCGATCCCGCTGCAGGAGCTGTGTCCCAGCATGGTGCAGGAGAACGTGTCCACGTGCTGCGACGTCAAGCAGCTGAGAACCCTCAAGGAGAACATGGCGGTGCCCTTGCAGTTCCTGTCCAGGTAGTGGACCTGCCAAGTACATCCATCACTGCCCAACAGTAAACTGACTAGTAGTAGGTTTTTACCCTTTTAAACTGGTACAAAACTGACACCTTTATTCAAGGCATCATGTTTGCAATAACCACAACACAAGTAGTCAAAAAAGCAAACAAAAAAAAGCAACTCTGATAATGATAATAATACGCACTGTCCTTGAAGTCGATTGGTCCACACCCGAGGCGGTCTTCTTTAGAGCCTAGTCCCCATTGGTGTTGGACCAGATGACACCAGAAGGCGTACAACTCAAACACAGTGCAATATCAGAGTATTGAGAGCTCGGGGTAAGCATTTACTATATGAGATCTCTTTTACCAGTGGCAAAATATAGTTTTGTACCAGTTTAAAAGGGTAAAAACCTACTACTATATTTTGCCACTGGTAAAAGAGCTCTCATAGAGTAAACGGACTACTTCGCAGTTTAAGCCTGTAGCTGCATTTGCTCGAAAGATCGATTATTTGTCTTTAAAAATGTCGATTATTTGCCTTTAGAATGTATTATATATAGAGAGAGATTTCGTACATTTATAATGCTAACTGCCTTTAATGATGAGAATGTACGTATGGTGTGTTGCAGATGCCCCTCCTGCTTCTACAACTTAATGACCTTTTACTGTGAGCTGACGTGCAGCGTCAACCAGAGCACTTTCCTCAACGTCACACAGACCGAATACTCCAACACCACAGGGATGAGCATCACCAGACTTCAATACTACATCTCTAAAACCTTTTCAAATGGTGAGTTCATGGGAATTTTCTGTTCGTTAACTTCCAATTGGAGATCTTGTTGAGTGGACATTGAAATGGTCACGGTTGTAAGACCCTTTCTCAGCCCATTGCTGAATGAAGATCTCTTGTGGTGGAGCGGTGGTACAGTTGTTAGCGTGGCTGACAGTGGCGAGTGACATCCAAGCTGGTCCTGCGCAACCACTTCACCAACCCGCACTGATCAAATGGTTACATATGTTTGACTTCTTTCACACACTACATAGCCAACCGTGCTAATCATATGTGACAGGTTATTGTACAGTTAATTACAATCCAATATTTGTACGGGCAAAATAACATCCTCGTCCTTCAGATTGCATCACTCAACCTTCAGTTTAAATCATGGTCAGAGGTCGACTTGACTCTGAAAAAATAACTTCCACTTTGTAGGAAGTCAACAGTTTTCTTGGCCATAAATTCACTTGGAAGAAAAACATAAACCCCTTGTGCTGAAGTAGAGGTTATATGGGGGTCGGGATGCCGGTTGAGGGGTGAGGAGTTGACAGTGGGTGGGATAAGAGGTCAGGCAGTGCCTGAGGGTTTCGATAGACCAGTTTGTTATTGTGCATTTTTTGTTCATTTATTTTTCTAGAACTGAAACATAGAGCAGTAATGTGACTGTGGGGTATTTTGACTTTGTGGAGTTTAAGGCAAGACTTCTCAACCTTGTGATCTCTGTGGATCCCTAAAGGGTTTAATAACACAAATATACTTTTAGTGACGCAAGATTAACCCAAATGTTGGTCTGCAGATCTCTTACCTGGAGGAATATTTTGTCATGATATTTCTTCTGTAATTATTGTTTACATGCATCTGCTAATGTGAAGTTACGCATGTGTGTTGATTTCCGTACCGTGCGTAGCAGGCAATGTAAATAAAGTACACCACCTATCCTCATTTTCGGTGTTCCTATCGACTTATCTCGAGCTCCTTGTAGTTGGAGTCCTTTCCACCACCAGTGGTGTGCGCAAGTTAAATTTGCAGGGCTGCATCTTTACTCATGGCAAAATTCCTGTAATGCGATCGGTTTCGCCGCTCAATGCCGTGCGCTGGCCCGCTTTTGCAGGGATGTTCAACTCGTGCAAGGACGTGACATCGCCCTCCAGCAACGACAAGGCCCTGGGGCTGCTGTGTGGGCGCGACGCCAAAGACTGCAATGCCACTAACTGGATTGAGTACATGTGCAGCACGAGCAATGGGCAGACCCCCTTCCAGATCGACCCCGTCTTCACCGGTACCCTGCACACAGCAATCGCGCTGCATTTGCGCGTCATCTGTACGTTTGAAATGAGATGCAGGTCGCTCGGTTTGCGTGTAAAAGCACTCTTTGAGACGCCCCGGCCTATAAAGGACACTCTGTCAAAAACATATCTTTATCTTCGGATCGCTGTGGAAATCTCATAGAACACGGTGAGGCCTGGAAGCCGATTTTAGGGTCGAGCGGTGGCGCAGGTATTTTTATTCACGAACACAGTTGCTGAGTAGTACCCCAAAGGTCCAAAACGTCAAGCGGCCACCAGCAAACAGAACTATTAAAGTTATAATGGGTGACAGTCGACACATTTTTGTAAATTGAGCAAGGTTATGGGAACTTGGAAAAATATCCTGTGGGACAGAATTCCCAAGTTTGTGCAAACCTGGCAAGCGCAGTTTTTTGCTACCGTCAGTGGTGTATGATATTCAAACTGTTTCTGGGCTTTTGCCTTCACCAACTTTCACCAGTATGGTGAAGGTTGGTGAAACCTCCTCCATGACCGACAGTGTGGGGGAGGCCTTCATTCAACATTGGAGTGACAGAGAGCTGTACAGGCGTCCCTTGCATTATGTGCGCGACATGCGTTCCTGAAAAGCAGCACGCAAGTCGGGGGTGCATTACCGAAGAAAAATTTAGTTATTCATTTAATAATTTTAGCCCTGGATTTACAAAATATGTATAGATGTAATACTTAATGATATTAACATTACAAACAAATACTTAAGAAGTTTAACAAATACCCATAATTGATATAAAAAAGATTATTACATACAAAGATTACTTAATGAGGAGTATCTTCAGTGCTTCTTGAACGCTTCCATGGGCCACTTGCTGCCCAGACCATAACGCTGGGCGTTACCTTGATGCAGTGACGCCATCAGAAATGGATTTTTTTACTTTGACTTTTCATCATTGAACAATAATGTTAATTTAAAAAATTTAATAATTAATATTTTTGGGGTTTTTTTCTTGAGCATCTAACTGTGAAACCCACAGCATAAGTGTGAAGTATGTCCCTAAAATATGAATCGCGTAACTGCGAATTTGCGTTATTGGGGAGTTGTGTAACGCAAGGGAAACCTGTTCTCAACATTGTAGCTTCGTGGAACGCACTGCCAGTTTCGGTGTAGTACATTTAATAAACATGATTCTTTATGGAGATGAGCTTGTGAGCTAATACATTCATGGAGAGCCCCATTTATCAAACAAATTAGATTATCCAAATGGATAAAAGAATATTTTCACCTTTCCAAAATTAATCGATCTCTCTTTAGACTTGCTGTGCGCTGTGAGTAAATTGCAGTTTTATGATTTCCATGGAATGGGAACTAACAAACAGATTATAAATTAAATGTCATCTTCCCAATCGTGCAACGATGAACAGCAACTGGACTCTATGCATCATGTACAGTACTCAACAACACTTGTCTTTTCTGTTAAAGAGCCATGTTCAATTAGTTTCACAAGGAGCTACAGGGAAAAAATTGTGCTCAATTCCAGGTCAAACACTTTGAACTTATGTCCTTTGTAACCAGCTCGGCATGTCAGTCAATTGCACTTCATTGACGGCTTCGAGATGAGGAGACTGTGCCTTGCAATGGCACCATCGCTTGGCGTGACGGGCGCATCGTCGTAATGCACCGCTGCAGCCTCCTGACACGCAGCTGGCTCTCGCCACAAATTGACGCCAAGTAGATAACCAGCGATTATTGTCGGCATATTAATTGGATAGTTAAATTTTCTCTCCACAACACTGAAATATTGCTGCTGCTTGTGAATCAGATTTACCTTTTAAAATATGTATTTGGTAATGTGTGATATGGTTAGTTGTATCTAGTTTCAATGGGAAATCTGTTTTACTTTTAGGGAGTGCTTTCTTCAGTAAGATTCACTTGCTACCTTGACACGTTGACAATCACAGTAATAAAACACAACATTGGGATAATGAAATAAATTAACGTGCTACTCGTGTGCCGAGATTAGTAAATGTGCGTTGTCTCCACAATCACAAGACCATGCTACTTTAAACCACATGGTGTGAGTCACTTCAGTCGCACACCAACTCATTTCCCAATGATGGGTTTAACTATACGAGCCCACCACCGCTGGTGGGTGGTGGGAGGTGGGGGGGTCTGTTCTGGCTTAACGTCTGATATAAATAACGTCAAGAAAGCAACTTGTGGTATGCACGTATGTATGTAGCACTTCTTTCGCACCATACGTAACCAACCGTGCTAATCGGAGGTGTGGGAAATTGAATAATTTAAAAGTGCAATGCTCCAGTGGCTTCCTAAGCTCCAGTGGCACTAGGAATGCCGGCGTTGGCAGTGCGCGTGACCGCGAGTGCCTTGTTGCTATTGTGCAGATGTGCCTGAGGACCCCATGGTGCCCATGAACGTAGCAACACTCGGCTGTAACGAGTCTGCGGATGATGACACGGGGCCGTGCTCTTGCCAAGACTGCGCGTCGATGTGTGGGCCCAAGCCACAGCCACCCCCCACCCCTCCTCCTTGGACCATCTTTGGCTTGGATGCCATGGTCGTCATCATGGCCCTCAGCTACATGTCATTCCTCTGGATCTTCTTAAGCATCGTCGTCTGCATGTTCTGCTATTGGAGGTACGCACTGGAATTTCGTGCCCATAAATGGAACGTGTGGTTGCCAATTAAGTTTCTGCCGTTCGTAATTACAGATATGAGAATGGTGCAATATCAGCTTCTATGGTTAATGTTGATGTGGGTGATTATTTCTCTTACATTAAACGGATTGTGGTGACAATAATTAGTTTCGCATTTGGGCATCGTCTACAGGAGAGGGAAATTTGGGGTGTGCTTTTAACCAATTAAGTTATTTGCAGGTAATTTAAAGTTTGGAAAATTTTCACTGTGACACCAGGACACATGGTCAACTCCTTTTCGAATAATGTAAAAGGGACCTTGACCCTTTTTCTTCTGGCCAGTGACATTGAGTGATAATTTGAGGCCAATTTGTGCCTTTATTTGACGTGTGTGACTTTGCGTTCGCAGCAATCCCATGGGGGCCGAGTCGGACTACGTTCCCATCTCGCACACCACCAAAGCGAGCAACACCATCAACGGAGACACCAGCCCCAACGGTGGGGAACGACTCATGCACCCCCCCCACTCCCATCCCGCCCCCTACAGCAGTGCCAAGATGTTAACTCCCTCGCCTGGTATGCAGGAGTTCGTTGCTCCAATCCTGACCCTGACTCCTGCTGTATATTTGGAGTTTGTGTGTCTTTCTCTCTGTGGTCGTGTGGAATTTTTTCCGGGTCCTCTGGTTTTTCCCTCCACATTTATAATCAACGTGCGTTTTAGAGTATTTGGCTACTATACATTTCCGCACGATAAGCCATTTCATTGAGCTATCATTTGTGATAGCCAGGTGGTTTCTGAAAAAGCTATGTAGCTCAGTGGGCCTTACCTGGTAAAATAAAGAAAATTGTTCAGTTTATTGTCACATGCTATCCTTTGCTGAAATTACCGGGCGGCTACTCAAATCTTTTCCACTCAAGTAGACGAACACTGCACCACCTCTGATTTAGCACGGTTGGCTACGTACGGTGCAAAACATGTTTCAACATACACAAATGCTAAACTTAGATTTCCAAGCTACTTGGCTTGCCATATGGGTACATGCAAATTAAAGCTTAACCGACTCAATTCACATGTTGGCTGCTGTTCCAATTCTAAAATCACAATGCTCTTCTGGGAATCGAATACAATCCCATGTTTGTCTCGTTCATACAGATGTGTTCACTGTATCAACCTAAATATTACACCAGCATATCCTTTGCATAGAAATTCGGGTGGTGGAGGGTTACGACACATTTATAAATAACGCGATCTAAACCCAAAAACGTTGATTATGAAATTGTATGAATTGTAAGTTTTCTTTTTTTTCACGCAGATAATTAGTTGAGACTGGAAAGTGAACGGGCGACCGCCACACATTAAACGAGTGTTACGGGCGTTGTGGGCGGCATCTAGCACTCGATCACAACCCGTTGTTGTATTGTACTTCCATGTTCCCTGCCTTCACCAACCCGCACTGCCCAGTGCTGTGAAATGTGGTCCAATAACCCTCACGACTTGCACGGTGTGGGGAGGCTCTCATCCAGCAGTAGATTGACCAGGGGCTGCACGCACGTGTACATTAAACATTTTATTTTAAACCGTTTCACTCGGCCAGTCGTGCATTCCCATGTAAAACATACAGGTTTTCTTTTACAAACAATTTTATTCTTTTGTTCATCTTTCCCCTTAGAATGTTAATGTATGGTGCATTTGTAATGAGTTCCGGAGACACTTGTAGAGGTAACTTCTTTATTACAATACAACACTCCAACAGTCCTGATACTCTTGTTACAGCCTAGGTCAGGGGTCGGCAACCAAAATAACAAGAAGAGCCATTTCTTTCCAATTCGGTACAAAATTCAGTATTTCAAGAGCCGCAATGCATCTGAGTACATACGTACATATCGTCAAGAAGCAGCCCGTAAAGAGCCGCATGCGGCTCCGGAGCCGTAGGTTGCCGACCCCTGGCCTAGGTACACAGCCTAGGTACACAGCCTAGATACACTACTCTGGCTACGCTCTGGGGTCCTCCGGCTACAATTACTCTAGGGGAGGCTACCTGACCCGACCCAGCCAAGGTGCGGGTGTGGACTCTGGCTTCCTCGGAACTCGCCCTTACAAGGACGTAGAGCCGGGAGTTCCAGAGTCCCACCACTGGCCCTTGGTGTCCTGGCCCTTACAAGGACAAGCGGGACGAGGGGGTCCAGGGTCCTAAGCTGGCTAGCTGGCGGGTCTTGGGTCTTGAGCTGCGACTGGCCCCAATTAGCCAGGGAGCTGCCCTTTTATGCCTCGTCCCCAACAAGGGGTGGGGTTGTGTGCGCCCCCAGATATCCCACAGAGCACACACAGCCCCCCCCGTTGGTGGCGCCAAGGTGCTTAAGTGTCTGGGGTGCCTGGGATCCTAGCGCCTGGCGCCGAGGGCTTATCTGTCTAGGGTCCCAGAGCCCCCAGCAGCCCCTCCCCTCTTATAGCACTACACATTAAGACGATGTGTATACCATTTTTATTATTTATGTTCTAGCTATGTTTCTGACTGGGTGCGGAAGTGACTTTATAAATCCGTCCTGGGTAAGTTCTAGACTAAGATGTTTGTATTCGAGTCATTACATGGTTACTCTGTGTATCCATGATATGGAAGCTGTTTGCTTGTTGTGAAATGTTTTATTGTTGATTTTTTAATATAATAGAGGACTGTGCTAGTGTAGTGCAGGAATGTTGCCTTGTAAGCCCTGTGGCATCCATCCCCTGTGTGTGCTCAGCCCAGAGGGTGCCACGGTGGCAAGATGTTGACTTCCTCGCCTGGTATACGGGAGCGCGTGGGTTCGATCCCAACTCTGACGCCTGTATATTTGGAGTTTGCATAACTGTCAATCCCTTATCAGTGCCTACCTTATTACAGACCAATTTAGACCTTATTGGTCACCCCGTGCCCTTATAAATCTCAACGTTCATCCTACAAAGTCCCATCACAAGGGAGAAACACAAACAAATAGACACCTTATTTTGCCCGTATTGAAACGGCTGTATGCCATAAGGACCTGAACTCAATTTCCCTGTACAAGAATAGGGGTAAACTGTATGGGTTCATAGGTATGAGTTTGTATGTTCTCCTCATGGTCGCATGGATTTCTCTCCGGGTTCTCTGGTTTTCCCTCCACATTTAGAAACATGCCTTTAGAGTATTTGGCTGCTATACGTTTCCACGTGATAAGCCAGTTCCTTGCGCTATCATTTGTGACCTGGTCACTTCTGAAAAAGCTATAAAGCTCAGTGGGCCTCACCTGGTAAAATAAAAAATAGTTTAATAGTTTTAGGGTTGCTGCTGAAGCACCTGGGAGAGCGTTTTAATGATAAAAAATAGCAATGACATGGAAACTGTTTTCTTGTTGTGAGATGTTTTATTGTTGATTAATTAAGATAACAAGGGGTTGCTGTATGCGTAGAGTGCAGACTGTTGTCTTGTTGAGTGCCGCTATGGCATCCGTGCCTTGTTCGTGTGTGCAGACCAGAGCGTATCGCTGTTCGAGCGCCTGGGAGAGCGGTTTGAGAGCGGCCTGCGCGAGGGGTTTGCTCGCTGGGGCGCCACCTGCGTGCTGCACCCGTTGCCCGTGCTGCTCTGCTCCCTGGTGCTCGTGGCCACGTGCTCAGCGGGGCTCGCCCTGATGACCATCACCACCGACCCCGTGGAGCTGTGGTCAGCGCCCAGCAGCCAGGCTCGCCGCGAGAAGGCCTACTTTGACTCGAAGTTCGGGCCCTTCTTCCGCACGGAGCAGCTGATCATACAGGCCATTGATACCAACACGTCCACCTACTCTCCTTACCCGTCGGGAAATGATGTGCCGTTTGGTCCACCTCTCCGTCTGGACATTCTCTTCCAGGTGTGTGTGGCTACGCCGTGCGCTAGGGTACCCCTACGCATACGGCCCTTTTGTCAGTCCCCCGCTGGACGGGCACCTTCCCATCCATCACCTTGAGGGTCGAAGTCTTCCAAGCGCTTTCAGGTTGTGCTGCGTGTTGCTCAGGCGTGCTGCCCGACGCTTTGAATTCAGAATTCAATTCAGTTTGCTGACGTAGCTCCCTGTCACGTGGAGTGAAGCGTCGGACGACGTGCTGAACGAAGCGCAGCACAACCAGGAAATGCAGCGAACGTCTGGACAGCACGACCGCAAAAAGCCTGCACGTTGTATTGTTTTATAAACACTTCCTTTGCTGATTGTGAATGCAGCTCGGGGATTATTTTTGCATGTTTTTTTGGAAGACGTTGGTGCAGTATCATCTTGTTTTCGAAGTGCACACTGATATCTAGTTTTATCGCAGTGCAATTGAGACTAATAGCCAGTTAACCTACTGCTTACTATCTAAGACCAATTGGTCTTGTTGACTTCATCATGGGTTGAAAACACTGCTGGGCGAAAGCCTCCCCACACGTATCAGTCACGAGGGTTGTTTGATGATGCTTCACCTCCCTGGTCAGTGTCGCTTGGTGAAGGGGGGGGTGCTCAAACTTTTTGGATATCACTCGCTACTTGTGGCCGGGAGTCAAACTGAGGTCGTTGGGATCGTGAATATAGCGCGATAACCAATGCACCGCTGTTCCCACCCCCCCCCCCCCAAGTCATTATAACCACACGCACCGTTTCAGTTTATCCTCCTGTCATTTTTCCGCTTTGTCTCAGTGCTGACAATTTCGTGCCCTTTTAACCACAAAACTTTCGCATTCGAAATATTTGGGAAATTTAAACTTGCAAACTTGTGTGAAAAAATGTGCGCATTTTGTGAACATCAGTAATAATAAAATAGGAAAATTGTACTGTTAAGGTAAATAGTATTCTCCTCTGCCCAGAGCTATGCTGCATTATTTAGGATGAACTAAGACGGTGTTCTTGTGTTACTATGAGATCCTCATTAATGCTTCCAACTAAAGTTGAAAGTGTTAATGCTAAGCTCTTTCAGTCTGTGTTATCCTCTGTTTCAGATGGGGTTAGTATAACTTTTATGAAGAGGATCCAATATGAATAGTAGTTTTGTTTAAAGTTGTGTTGCTCTTAGGGGCTTACCCTATAGAATACTGGTCAAATTGAACAAAGATAAATCTAGCGCTTAAAGCATAAGCCTTGCCACCAAGGCGATGACGTAATTGTGTGTGAAGTCACGAGATGACATCTTAAAGCGAGTTATCGTCCTGCCACGTCACACAGGGAGCATTCACCTCCCCTCCTAATAATGTCACGCGTGACGTCATCTTGTTGTGCAGCTTGGAAGGTTCCATCACTCTCGCTAATGGATTAGTGTTTCTGAGAACGTACGTGTGACAAGTATCCATGAATATCCATGACCTCCCTTGTTAATGTTGCATTAGGTGCTGGACCTGCAGACAGCAGTGGAGATGATGGAAGTGCCCCACAATGGAACCAACGTCACACTTAAGGACATCTGCCTTGCCCCACTGGCGCCCACCAACAACAACTGCACCATCATCAGCGTGCTCAACTACTTCCAGAACAGCTACAAGCAACTGAATCGTACCGTGGGTGATGATTTCTACGTCTGGGCCGACTATCACTCTCACTTCCTCTACTGCGTACGGTAAGCCTGGCTTACGACTAATTTCTTACCAAAGGGAGAACGCAACTCAAAAGAAACATACGTCCGAAACGTTGAATTTTAACAAAAAACAAGTTTGAGAAATTAATGCGTGTGCGTTTGTTTTAGATGCATACATAGTCGGCATGTCCCAGAGGCTCCGACACAAGTTTGATGCTTTGTTCGTCAGAACTGAGACTTTAAAGTCCAGTTCACACTCCGGGGGCATCACTCTTGACATCATCTGCCTATGTTTTGAGATAGTATGCCCTGGTATTTTCATACTATATTATTTTTAAAAGTTTTGCTGGCTGGCTGGCTGCCTGGAACATGGGCAGGCAAACATGAATGCGCGATAGTGAGTGCATGCACGAAGGTGACGTCACTGCGTGCGTGTACTCGTGGTGAGGTTACCCGCATACCACAGCATTGAGCCAGGTTCGTGTGTCGCGCTGACGTCATCACGTCTGCTTCCCCACCATCCACCTGTGGATCCTGCGGAAATACTATTTTTAATACTATTTTTATACTTTAAAAAAACACATATTTTTTATTCTATTTTTAAATCCCTTTTTTCATAAAAATGTTTGATACTTGTAAGGCCAATCGAGATATACAACTCTTTTTCAGAAGTAACCTGGCCACAAATGATAGCCTGATGAAGTGGCTTATCACATGGAAATTTCTGGCAGTCAAATTCTCTAAATAAATGTTGATTCTAAATGTGGAGGGGAAAAACCAAAGGACCCGTAGAAAAATCTACGAGACTACAGGGAGAGAGACCCGCAAAGCCAAATATACAACAAGTGACAGGGTCAGAATCAAACCCCCACGACTTGCATACCAGGCGAGGTAGTTAAAATTTCCTAGCTATCCGCGGCACCCTGTGCGGCCCAGTGCTAGTTTCTCTTCAACAAAGTTTATAAACCGACTTGAGTCAGACAGCCTGGGACACATTCTTTGTGCGTGCTAGATAGGAGCTTGTTTTTGTGTATTATAAAGTGGTGTGTGCTACTGCGATTTTCCTACACATGCATCTGCCCAGCGGTTCGTCAAATGTGTGTCCTCTTTATGCATTGTGGCCGTGCAAGTATTAAAATCTGAGCACATCCTGGTAAGGCATGTTAAGTGCACAGTTGAATGTGTTATGCTTGTAGGGCGCATGCATGAATAGGGAAGTAGGTGGGTGGCAGGTGTACGCTTGCTTCTGTAGCTAGTACGTATTGTAATTAAGAATTGGCTTGAGATGCTGTGGTTGTGGACTAATGCTGAAAGCTGGGATAATGCTGCTCCAGCCACTGCTTCATTCTCTGGCTTAAAAAATAGGTCAGAGTGTTTTTCTCAGAAATAAGTGTGGGATGAATGGAGAGAGAGAGGAACTTTTTTGTTGTTTGTTGTGTGTGTGTGCACGTGCGCTTCAGTGCTCCGACTTCAGTGAATGACACGACCCCGCTGCACGACCCCTGTCTGGGCACGTTTGGGGGCCCTGTGTTCCCGTGGCTCGCTCTGGGAGGCTATGACGGTAGGGCACTGAACCTCGCCTCATTTTAAGTTGAAGCTCTAAAGCACTTACTTCCTGTGTCTTTTCAAGTTATAGCTGTGCTCTCTGTGCAGCAGTTAAAGTGAAGCGGTATTTGCTGGCATTAGATAGCAGCAAAACATATTAATGTAAATTAATTGCAGAAGCATATGTTGTAAATAAAAAAAAAATAGGTTTCACCCTTTATGGCAATGAAATAGTTACCTTTTTCAAGGCATCAAGCCTGTATTAACCACACGTACTTTCAGACTTGATGCCTTGCAAAATGTATCTATTTGGCGTTTGAACATCTTAACACCTGTTTTATTGCCAGAAAGGGTAACACCTTTTTTTTATTCATATTTTTTATACTGGCAAAAAGTCCAATAGATATACGTTATGTAGTTGTTATTTTATAATTTCCCCCATTTTCATCCCGGTTGTGCTATCGGCATAATGTCATGAAGTTATCTATTTGGATGCCTCGGTGCAGTGTTAGAGAACCGCCCGTGGAAGTTATCAGAGAGTACATTTTAAGTGACCTTTGGTCCACACAGTAGAGAGAAGCACACTGTCCCAACCACTGCATATGAGAGTCATGGGATGGGAGCCATGACGGCAACAACAACTGGCATCACAAGCACGTGGTGACGGAAAGAATCAGAAACTTTATTTATACTGGAAGAATCTGATGAGCTCTAAAGCTCTTTTTCACATGTCCTGAAGGAACAGGTAAGAACGTTACTACAACAAACAATACAAAACATGATAGTCGTGCAAAGTACATAAAAGGTAAACAAATCGCCCAAACATCTATATAAATAAAGACCTTAATCCTTGTGTCTCTAAAACCTCGAGGGTACTTCCTGACGAGGTAGAAAGCTGAAATTTGGTAGATGGGTAGCTTTTAGGACATACACAACAGGAAAAATCGGAAAATCCGAGATTTTTCATTTTAAGGCCCCCATATCTCGCTTTTAAGTGCCCCATAAACATGTTTGTGCGTGTCATTCATAAACTGTGCAAAATATGAGATTGCTTTTTTTTCTTTTAATAGAGCGTTAAACAGCAGATAAAATTAAAGCGAGAACTATTCTAACTTTTATTGTTTTGAGATTTCAGATTCGCCGTTTTGAATGAAAAATTTCAAATTTTATGATGTTCAAATCTGAATAATTCGAAAACGGTTAAAGATAGGAGCTTGCCCTCGCATAGTATTAAGACGATTGCTTGTGTTGCGATCAAAACGTCGTGATTTTTTTTTCTATCTACGTGACTTTACCGTAAGACCTAAAGAGTAGTAATTATTATATTTATTGAAACATTTTCCTTGGCAAAGACGGGCTTTATGAACTAGTATACTAATAAAACTAAACCATTCCCATCCTACCAGGCAAAGCCCACTGAGATATTGACTTCTTTTTCAGAAGTGACCTGGCCACAAATGGCACAGAGAGAGCGAAATAAACGAGATGAAAGACAGGGACGGAGAGACAAAGACAAGCATACAAGAGGGAGACATTGGGATACAGAGGCAGATGGAGAAAAGGGCAGAAAGACAGTGGGGAGCACAGAACAACAAGACAGAGAGACTGATTTGGAGGAACAAGCAGACAAGAGGGCGAGACACGTGGACAGAAATACAGAGACAAAGAGAGGAAGACGGACAGACATGGAGGAATATTAAAAGGGAGAGACACAGATAGAGGTAGACGTGGACACTGAGACAATGACAGAAGGTTAAATGGTGAAAACTGAGGGCAGCAGCGAGAAAGGCAGTTGGATACGGAGAGCAAAGGGGCAGGTAAACTGAGGAAGGCCCATACACAGACCACGGGAAGGGAGACCGAGGCAGAGATGAAGTGAGAGGGAGACCCATAGAGAGACGGGGAAAGGGGAGAATGAGAAACACAAATAAGGAGACAGACACAGAGAGAGGAAATATAGACAGGCCAGTTTATTGAAAATATACTTGAATATATTATACATTGGTTTCAGATTCACGTAATACCTAGGCAAGGTGTTCAATATTTGGCTGTTGATAGCATCCCTAGTTGCCGTCTACCTGGTGTGTGAATTCATTTATAGTGTTTGCTTTCGTTGGAGTATTAACAAATAATATTAGCATTTACATTTTCCGATTTGCTAACGTTCTTTGTGACCACCTGTGTTCAGCAACTTCTAATGGGAGTGCGTGTAGATGTGTGGTGAAAGAAGTGACCCCGTTGCCCTGTTGAATGATGCGCTCCAGGTGATAATTACAACAACGCCACGGCCCTGGTCATAACCTTCCCTGTTGTCAACTACCACAACAACTCGGAAAAGATGGCTGCTATTTTGGCATGGGAACAAGGGTGAGTTGTGGGTTGCAAATGCTTGACTTAATTTGAGAATCTGATTTGCATGTTATCCGAGAGCCCCCTTCTGACCAAATCACCCAGCATACACCCAATCTCGTCAGATCTGAAGAGGTATGCTCGGTTGAGCCAGGATAGCGCTTGAAGGGACAATCTCCGCACACAAAGCCGTGCTGCAGACAGTTACTACTGCTGCTGTGGGGCCAATTTGTCAGCACCCGAGCAATGCAGCAATATCGAATGTTGTACTGTACTATGGTTCAACATCTATGCTGCCCACCTTCACCTACCCACACTGACCAGCATGGCGACGTGGAGAGGCTGTCATCCAACAGTGGATTGACAGTGGCTCTGTTTTTATGTATATGCATGCATGCATATATGCATGCAAACTCGTACAAGAGCCAACTTCCAATGTTGGCAAGGCAACACAAAATAGATGATGATGTCGAAGGACAGTGTCACAAACGGGAGAGTTGGCGATCTCTAAGTCACACTGCACTCTCGTGCAATTCCAGCAACACAGCGTGGAATAAGACCAAAAAGGTTAAGTGCATTATGTCATTAACTATTCGGAATGATCGTAGCAATTATTGAGGGTGATGAAGGTAGTGATCGTCACGAAGGTGACGTGGGTGATAGGACTCTGGAGTGAGATGCGCTGGGCGCCGAATCGTGTGATTAAAAATAATGCTTGGGCCATGTGCGCTCCGAGGACACTCCGCGTGCCACGTGGTTTCTTCAACGTGGGGCGACCACAAATAGCCACCTAGCCTCCAGCCTAGAGCCCCTCTGGCCGTTTGTTCAAAGTGAGCCGTGCTCACGGATCCACCACGTTTACCGCTGTCGCTGGTATCTCACGTTTCTGTAGACGTCACTCGGAGCTTTCTCCGCCCGTTTGTTGCGGAAATGTGCAGTCCTACAGGTTTTCTTTTCTTTACAAAAGGTTATGTGCCCCCCTTTTCCTAATGGACAACCGCAACAAGAATGAGGCATATGGCACATCCTGCTGATTCTTACCACACACCCTACCACCCCTCACCACATACTTCCGATTATATATATTTTTTCCCTACCTGCCTCCGATTAGCACGGTTGGGCTACGTATGGTGTGAAAGAAGTTCATAATACTTATACACAAGACAAAGATACCCCGTATAGCCTCGGTAGACTTTTTGGGCAAGTGTTGTTAGCGAGCACCTATGCAGGCCGACACAGCACACGAGGGGGTGGGTGGCCAGCACCACGCCTGGCTGACTGTCTCCTCAGTGGTGATGTTTACACATACTACACACCCTTCACCATACACCCCTCACCACGCACCCATCACCACCCACTACTTACCCCACACCACATACCAACCCTCCAATTAAATTGTAATGCAGTCACATCTGAAGAGTAAGTCAAATGAGGTGGAAATAACAGCTGCTTTGGGATTCGAAGGAGGCAGTCAGTGCGCCACCGCTGCAAACACAGGAATTGGGCCCGGTACCTTTAATACATTGATGCACGAGAGGAACCAATACATTAGAGATGTTGCCTAACGATTAGTTATTCACAACGAATTTGTGATAAATTAATAACATGCATTACGTAACCTGTCGTTGAGGGCTGTGCCTGGATAGACTTACAGCTAAATAAGTGTGCACTGCCGTGCCTCTTGCACGCAGGTTCATTGATCTGGTGAAGAACTACAACAACCCCAATCTGAGCATCGTGTACTCGGCGGAGCGCAGCATTGAGGACGAGATCAACCGGGAGAGCACTGGCGACGTGCGCACCGTGCTCATCAGCTACGCCGTCATGTTCGTGTACATCTCTCTTGCACTGGGACACATCCGGAGCATCTTCACGCTGGCGGTACGTGTGCGTACGCACGGGTTGTTCATATATATTAGGTCTTTAATAATAATAATACAAATTAAAAAAAAGTGTCATTTAACGAAATTATGCTAATTTATGTAATAACTAGCGCGAAGAACACACGCACACATAGACTATTACAGACATTGACCCACACACACACAAGCACATCGACTTACACCCACACACACATATGGACTCACACAGACATGGACTTTAGATACACACACATGGAGTTACACACAGAAAATGACGTACACACATACAGCGACTCACACACACACATACATAGACTCACACACACATGGACCTACACACACATATCTACTAAGAAACACACACATGGACTTGCACACATACATGGAACCACACAGACACATCGACTTACACACACATACATAGACTCACACACACAACGCCCGACACACACACATATGGACTCGCACACACAGACATCGACTTTAGATACACACACGGAGTTACACACATGGACTCACACACACACATACACTTACACAGACACACAAACACACATCGACTCACACACGAACATAGAGCCACACACATCGACTGACACGCAGACACATCGACTTACACACACAGCGACTCGCACACATACATGGACTTATACATACACATCGACGTACACACACACATAAACACATGGACTCACACACAAACACATGCACTTACACACACACACATCGACCCACAACAACAACAACAACCGCCATTCGCCACTAAGTGGCGGTGACATCACCACGACGCTTGTGCCAGGCCAAGTGCACCTTGAGGCCACGTGAAGTGTCGAAAGCCCGCTGGCAGGAGGTCACGGGGCAGACCCAGCAGGTGCCACGGGTCGACTGACCGAGATGACCGAGATGACTGGCTGATGCACCACCTGTGCCCCCTACCGTACCAACTTGCTGTGCTTTAGCCACCCGGCGCTCCGCTCGTTGTTGTGAGCGTCGCTCCTCCGCCCTCCGTTGTTGTTGGAGGGCGACTGCCTCCAACTGCCCAGTAGCGTCCTTCACGAGCCTCCTCCACTGAGGCCGATCTTGACACCGCTGGTACCAGTCATCGGCAAGTCCACTCAGCTCCACGTCCTCCTGTACCACATCACTCCATCTCTTCTCTAGCCCGTGCCGCGCCCGTTTAGCCCCCTCGATCCGGCCGAACAAAAGCTGTTTAGGCATGCGGTAGCTGGGCATGCGAGCTACATGACCCAGCCAACGCAGCCTTGCCTGCCGGAGGAGCTCACCGATGGGACTTTGCCCCGATCTTTCAAGGATTTGTGAGCTCCTCACACAATCCAGCCTGGTTAAACCCAGGATGGATCGTAGGCAGGCCAGCCTAAATGTTTCCAACGGGCAAAGATGCTCCATTAGGGGGGTCCACGTTTCGCAAGCGTAGAGAAGGGAGGGAATGACCGTGGCCGAGAAGACCTGAAGCTTCGTGCGGAGCGACAGACCAGGTAGCTTCCACACAGCGTTATGCAACCGATGAAAAGATAATGCCGCTCGACTGATTCGGAGTGAGACCTCTGCTGATAAACTGGAGCCGGTCATAAGCACACTGCCCAGGTATGGGAAACTCTCCACTCTCTCCACAACAGCCCCATCACCGATTGGGAGTTGTGGGGGCGGAGTGTCCGATGGTACAAAATACCCAGGCAGGTGCTTAGTTTTGGTGGGGCTGATGGTAAGGCCCCACCTCTTAGTGGCACGCTCCAGTCTCAGCAGCAGCGTCTCCAACTCCTCTTCTGAATGAGCAGCTATTACCAAATCATCGGCATACATAACGTGGTTGACCAATAGGGAGCCATCCCTTGATCGCACCCGGGCGTCGATCAGCCTCCCATTATATCTGTACCAAATGGAAATTCCCCCGGTACAGCTATTGAAGGCTTCACGAACTACGCAGTCGAAATAGATGTTAAATAATGTGGGAGCCAGAGGACATCCCTGTCGCACCCCAAGGTGTACAGGGAAAGGCTCCGACTCCCGGCCATCGACCACACACACACATACATCGACCCACACACACATAGACTTGCACACACGCACACACATAGACTTGCACACACACACATATGGACTTACAAAAAACAAAGACAAAGATTCCCCGTATAGCCTTAACAGACTGTAGGGGTAAGTGCTGTTAGCGAGCACCTATGAAGGCCGGCACGGCACACGAGGGGTTGGGTGGCCAACACCACGCCCGGCCGCCTTTGTCTCCCTAGCGACGATGTTTACACATCGCACCAGGTACTCATTTGAGGCTGAGTCGACCTAGGGGAGGCCCGGGACCGGTTCAGATAATCGTCACTGGTGTTGGCCGTAAGCGAGAATCGAACTCTGGTCGCCGGGTTCGCAGCGCAGCGCGCTAACCCCTACACTACTATGGACTTACACACATCGACCCACACACACATCAACCCACACACACACACACATGGACTTACAAACACATCGCGACTCACACATACACATGGACTTTCACACACACACATACATTGACTCGCACGCATCGGTTTAGACACACACACAATTATTTTTTATTTTCAATTACACACACACATGGACTCACACACACATGGACTCGCACACACAAACACATGCACTTACACACATACATCGACCCACGCACACATAGACTTGCACACACACACATAGATTTGCACACACACACATATGGACTTGCACACATCGACTCGCACACACATCAACCCACACACACATGGACTTACAAACACGCATCGCGACTCACACATACACATGGACTTTCACACACACACATACATCGACTCACACACATCGGTTTAGATGCACACACAATTATTTTTATTTTCAATTGCACACACACATCGACTCGCACACACACACACACACACATGGACCTACACACACGCAAAGGAATGGACTTACACACTCACGTGCTGACTCTATAGCAGTATTTATCGACTCTATAGCACGAAGTACTCACCTGACAGAGTGGCATGGTGAGGCCTAGTCCTGTGCAGAGCCCCCGGCCTCGCCTAGATTGCCCAGCCGGACGAGGTTGCACCTTGGCAGGCTAGAGGCTGGGCCGCAACCCCCACCCCCACCATCCCCCCGCCCGCGCTACAATAATAGTATCTAAGCGCTATAATATTAGTATCTTCCGATCCTTTAGTAGTAAGTGCACACATTGGGGTGGGGGGGGGGAGAAGAGGACATGACACTGATGAATTTACCTCAGCGTTGTGTGTATTGTTTTTCCATTTTTAACGTGACTGAGACATCCCCCCCCCTCCACTGATGATGCGTGTGCGTTGCTAGGGGCAACCCCCGGGCAGCTTTAGCGGCACGAGGAAATAATTAACTAACGGAAAATATCACTAAATTGTTAATTTAACTACTTTAAAGTTGACTGATGGGAAAACGGAATGGCGCTGGCACACCACGGGGCTTACGGCGTTGTAACCAGCTACTTTTTTTAAGCGTTAACCCCACGGTTCGCGAGCCCAAATCCTTCGCAAGAGACAGACAGATAGACAAAGAATGACGTTTATAGGTTAGATTATTATGCATGAACTTAGGAAGGCACCACTCAGACTCTTCTGTGTTAAGCACCTTTCATATCTAAAAACACTCTAACATGCGAACACTTATGCTCGGATTTATCAACAGTACTCCTCGATGTCCTACTCATTGATCCGTACAAATAACCCTCAATCGTTACGTTTGTTAAACTGAGCACAAACAAATTGCCTAATCCTTCAGAGTAAAGCGAGCATACACGGCGATAGGAAAAGTCCTAAAAAATGTAATGTGACAATATTCATACGAACAGTGATAAATAAACATGTACCCGAGGTAAAAGTAGACCTCAATAAATTAATGGGTAAGATTATGCAATTAACGAAAACGAATGACTAAAATACTTCTAAACGACCGTATTCATGTAACTCAACAGGCAGCAATGCTTTTCACGGTCCGCTAATAGTTAACGCACCACCTTGGAATGGCAACCCTTTTCGAAACACAAATATAACTTTTTGGAACAATCTTATTAGTCCCGATATGCGCGTTATGTGTGTGTGTCTTCTTTGCCACTTGCTGAATTAGCGGCTTATGCAGTACAGCGTTCCTTGTACTGAAAATACCTCAGGTTCCCAGCAGGGCCGCTGGGATGGCGTGTGTGTGTGTATTGAACACACGGCACTCTTGTCTGCACCGACACTCTTTCTCTTGGCTGCACTAGTTCAGGCTCTTTCCACTGCTCCGTACTCTTTACCCTGGCGTGCAGCTGCCAGCTTCGCGAGGGCACCCGGTGGTGCCTCTCCCGCCCGCCCTTGCTTCAGGGCTGCGCTGGTCGTTGCTCGTCACTCTTTCCCTCTGCTCTCAAAACTCGTAAATTGTATTCGCACACCTCTTAGCTTCTTACAACTCTTATAGCTTAGTACAACACCACTAATCGCAATCCTTGACTTTGCAAGCGACTCAAAATATCAGGATAAATGTAGAATAAAACTTTCAGCGATACTCTGTCGGTCAGCGCCGAACTCAAAACCTAGCAACACATCGCCCCTCTTCTCTGCAAGACTCGACATCCATGGTTGATTTCAAGGACCATCCCCGGAGCTTGCCATTACAAAACTGAAGTGCGCTGTGTGTGTTCGTCGTTATATTCGAAAATTAACCCCCATCTGCGGGTCTCTCGTGAAAAAAAACAGAATCCCTCTGTCTCGTTCTCCTCTCGTGGCCACAGCCGCCTGGTTGCCCCCCCCCCCCTTTTGACCTTTGACTGGCTGATTTCCATCACCATGTTTATGTTTTTTGGTTTGCATTTCCCCTCCCTCCTCTGCCTTCGTGGTGTTTGCCATCTCAAGGGGAGGAATCCTCCCTTCATACGTATTTTATTGCTACCATGTGTTGTGCCAAATTGCGGTTTGGAGGCTCTGGTCCTATGCAATACATATTATCTTGGTCGTGTGTGATTGACCTATTTCGCCTTGTATCTATTTTAAATTACGCTAGGTCTAATACTTCATAATTATTATTTGGTTTATGTTTAACCAAGCTTCGTGATATACCATAGATGTTACCACAGGTATTCCGAGGGTTTTATTAACTTTGTTCTCCGTCTGTGTCGCCAGGGATCCGTGCTTCTTATTCTCGAGTTATATTTTGATATCCTGAGGTTGGAGATGTAACTAAGTTTTGACTTAAGCTTTCGTGACTGCCGGAATTCATATTGTTTGGTTCTTTTGGTAAGGTCACGTAGATAGAAAGATACAATATAAGAGGTGAATAAGAGTAAAATAAAATAAGTAATAATAAAAGCCACGAATGTAGACTGCAGTCTATAATGTCGATGTATTCTTGTCACTAAGTTTCAAACTTTTACCGTTGTTAAAAACCACCAGTTGTAATATTCCCCGTCCCTGCTGTTTGTCCATGTTTAATGGTGGCCTTTGGCCTTGCACCGGGGTTTTTATTAAATGTTACGGCTTATCTCCAGCTGCTTTCTTGTGTGGCTTGTGAGAGACAGTGGATTGAGGGGTGGGGGGTGACCCCCCTCTACGCCCCGCACCTACATCCAGATAAAACTTTTTTTAAAAATAGGCAGAATCATTCTTAATATAAATATTTGGAAAAAGTGTCCCTCTTCACCTGTGGGTCTGCCAGTTCTTCAATCTCTGTATGGTCTACACGAGTGTATTTGAGTTTATGGACAGGAGTTTTTTTTCGCAGCGTCCCAATGGCCACTTAAAAGTAGGCCGGCCAGTTTGTGACGCAGTAAATGGCACTACTAAAGCATGCATTTGTAATTGTCACTGAGTCTCACAATTTTTTTAAGAAAGTTCTAATTAGGCACATTTAGCCACTTCAATTAGTCTCTTGCTCGTGGGAGGAGATTGGACAACCCGGAGAAAACCCACCCTGCATAGGAGGTGACACTGCTCAAATGTTTGCTTTGACGAGTTGAAATAAGCTACTTGCTATATGACCATATTTTGGCCATCTCGCAGCACAACGAATTGGGAGTCTCACAAATCTACATCATCCAAACGCATGCCTCCTAAAGTGCTGGATTACAAACCGGTGCTTACACCTTTGGCTCGAGAGGTTTTTTTTATCAGTGACTTCTAAGGTATGTGTTTTTAATGTTACTAAATTTGTATGCTATTGTCATCCATGCACGATGCGTTTTCAGGTTGACTCAAAGATCTCGCTGGCCATGGCAGGGATCGCCATTGTCCTCTGCTCCGTGTCTTCCTCTCTGGGCATCTTCAGTTACGCGGGCATCCCACTTACGCTCATCGTCATTGAGGTCATCCCCTTCCTCGTGCTGGCAGTCGGCGTGGACAACATCTTCATCCTCGTGCAGGCTTACCAGGTGACTCCCGTCGCAGAGTGCTGACTTGCTGCGGCAGGCACGGTAACAAAGATAATTGTCTTCAACCGAGCCAGGCTGTATCTTGAAAACAAACACGTGAGGAATGTGCAAGAACCCAGCCAGGTTATAAAGTAGATCAACTACTTAAGATGTGCATTCTAGAACAAGAGGCAAGTTATAATATAGAACAGCAAGACCTGCGTATATGTCTGTGAACGGGGGCTATGTTAAACAAAACCCAGGTAGGGTACACTCACCTCTTCCTTTTTATTCACAGCGGGATCTAATATTTTGGACACAGGCTTTGTGATTTATAGCAGCTATGAAATACTAATTTTGATATGTATGATGTTTCTTTATACGATGAAGATGATGATCATAAGAATAATAATATCGCCTCTGCAGCATTCAGACGAACTGTGGCCATAGCCCAGATTAGACTAAGGGTTTTCGTCCTGTGCTTCGTGTCACAGCAGTGCTTAACGTGGCTGCAGTGTTTGCATTTGCAAATTGGCTGGAGTGACCACGCCCATCATCCGGCACTGTTGAGATGGGGGGGGGGGGGATTTAGTGCCGGCTCACCACTTGGCTGCTTTCCCATTTGTCTGATTCCTCGCACCTTGGAGCCATTTCCTCTCTTCGAGAGCGAGCGAATATTGAATCTCCACATTGTTTATGCTAATTTGTACGAATGGGCATGTCTTGTTCAGTGACATGAGTGGCGTGGAGACATGTGGGAAGTTATGTCTTATTGCCAGGCAATTTTACGTGATCTGTGCTTTGCTAACAGAGAGACGAACGCCGTGCGGAAGAGAAGGCGCATGAGCAGATTGGCCGGATCCTGGGAGATGTTGCTCCAAGCATGCTGCTGACCTCCACTTCAGAGACCTTGGCCTTCTTTCTGGGTAACGAGCACCTCACAAGTGGTTAGCACTGGACCCCGTGCAAAGTGAACTAAAGAGCGCCATAACTAATGAGGCGTTTTTTTTTTGTAACCAGGTGAAATCACATATTTGAATGTGCACAGTGAGAACACCATGACTAAAGTTTGAAAATAGGTAATAAAAACATACGTACAAATTTAATACAAAAGTTAATAGTTAACGTAACTCGGTACTCATAATAACAAATTACAGCACACCATCTTTATTTTTTAACAAGGAGGACGTTTTGACAAAGCAAGGAGATCGTTGTCATCTTGTGTTTGCTCTCAATGTCCAAGTCACTCAACCACTTGATCTCTACTCTATGGGAACCTCATTTGCCAGTAAAAATATGATAATTGGTTCTTTACCCTTCTATCTGGCAACAAAACTGACACCTTTTTACAAGGAGTCATGTTTGCATAGACCGCAATACCTGCAGTCATAATACAAACAAAAGAACATAACTCTGAGTTAAGAACATAACTCTGAGTTATGTTCTTTTGTTTGTATTATGACTGCAGGTATTGCGGTCTATGCAAACATGACTCCTTGTAAAAAGGTGTCAGTTTTGTTGCCAGATAGAAGGGTAAAGAACCAATTATCACTTGATCTCTACTTCATCCAGTTAAATTGGCCTTCTCGCTCGAACAAATGTCTTAAATAGTTTGGCGAACTTGTTCTCCACGAAATACATAGATATTGTAAGGGGAGGCTGTGACACTCACCATATTCATTCACTGATATTCGGAGACGTTTTCCGAAAATTGGGTTGTGTTTATGCGTACCTCCGATTACCATGCGTACCGCACCTCCAATTAGCACGGTTGGCTACGTACAGTCCGAAATAAGCCTGGAGACCTACTCATCTCCTTTCTTCCTGTCCAACTTTTTACACAGTTCAGCACATGCTGCTACTTTGCACGAATCCCTTACTGAAAGACATTTGCTGCATATAGTCGTCTTCAAGTCAATGGCTGATGCACCAAATAATTTTTTACTCAAGTGTTACGTGGAAAGACAAGGCCTTGGTCATAAATTTAAGACAATTATATTTACGTCAGAGTTACCAGCATATAGAGCTGTAGTGACTGTACTTGTCACTGTGTGGTGCCGGGACTTGCGAAGTCACGGCCGGTAATGTTGTCATTGCGGGCAGCCCGGGTTGCGTGCTGCAGTACCAACACTAGCGGTGATTGGGTGAGCGCTGGTTGGCGCGGAGGCACCGCGAGCAGTGTGCGGTGCTGGCTCCCGGTGAGGGAACGAGAGCGAGTATCAGCCAGCCAGGGTTACTCTGGGGCATGATACTCTGGCTGACCTGTTGTCACGTGACCGGACAATACTGGAGGGGGGCCACCGGTGGACGGGGGCCGAGGGGCGGTCACGTGGTTCCGAAGAGCTCTCGGGAACATTCGAGAGGGAGCTCGAGAAGCCTGGAAGGTGGGCGGGGCTAAGGGCGGAGCCAGCCCCAGCCCGGGGGCGTATAATGAGAGCTCCATGAGGAGCTCGGGGTTCTTCGTGTGCTGGTGTGAAGAAGATCCACGTCGGGGAGAAGAAGCCTCTTGCCACGTGGTCCGGGACCCCACTTGTGGTCCGGACCGGGATAGCGAACAGTGTCTAGTTCTGCCGTAGCGTGGCTGGATGGGCATTCGAGACCCGAGCGTAGGTTGTGTTATGTTACGTATGGTTATGTGAATAAATAGTGTTGCTCCAAAGATAACATCTGCGACTCAGTTGGACTCACTACACAGCCATTAGCTATTAAAATCTTGTTTAACAACACATGTACAGAAATGCCACCATTGCTGTTGTGCGTCCGATTGTCTGGTCCCACAGGCGCCTTGTCCGACATGCCGGCTGTGCGCACCTTCTCGCTGTTTGCCGGCATGGCTGTGCTCATCGACTTCCTGCTACAGGTCACCTGCTTCGTCAGCCTCATGGGCCTCGATGCGCGGAGGCAGGAGGTGTGACGCTGCTCACCATTGTACATCCCACTTAGGGCTTTCTGTATGGGGATAGTGTTGCCACATGTATGTATGTTTGTTGAACTTGTCGCTCACGGTCCAACGCTCACGGTCACATCGTACGTAGCCAACCCTGCTAATCTGAGGTGTGAATGTATCAACACTCCAGCTAAACTATAGAACTATTTTAATTTTACGAGGTAAGGCCCACTGAGGTTATATAACTCTTTTTCAGAAGTGACCTGGCCACATGATAGCTTAACAAAGTGGCTCATCATCACGTGGACATTTATTGCAGCATGTTTCTAAATGTGGAGGGAAAAACTGGAGGCCCAAGAGAAAAAGCCACGCAACCACGTGGAGCACACGCAAACTCCAACTATACAGGCGTCATGGTCGGGATCGAACCCATGACCTCCTGTATACCAGGCGAGGTAGTTAATATCTCGCCATCATGGTGCCACTCATTCATATAGTTGGCCAAACATCCCGAAATAGGTCCACATAGCTTAGGAAATTGTTGCCACCTATTCTGGTGGCTTTCCTTTCTGCTTGTCTTTGGCTTCCCGCACCTCTGAAACTTGAAAACTGTGCATTGAAAATGTGTGTTTATTTTATTTTTTAAGCAAATGCGCTGCCACTTTGTAGGAGGGTCATTTCGACATCGTGTGCTGCTTGAAGACCAGCGTTCCTCCGCCGGACGAGAGTCAGCACGGCCTGCTATTCCGCTTTTTCAAGAATCTTTTTGCCCCTGTGCTGCTGAGCGAGTGTGTGCGGCCTGTTGTGGTGAGTGACCTCTCCTCCACACGTCTGCAGTTGTAATGGGAATAGAACCCAGCGCATATTTCACCGCACCGGTTTTGCAGACCGCAGAATGCCGTGCTAGAATGCACATCTAAATGGTATAATACGGTGTCCATTCTACCCGATGTTAGTCCGCACCATTGGTCTGCACCTCCGATAAGCACGGTTGGCTACGCACTCTGCGAAAGAAGTTCAACATGCGTATATACGTGACAGATCCCTACACTGCGTGGAGTCGCGCAGTAGCACCACTACTATCATCCAACGATTTGGAGGCAGCGCTCACCACGCACGCCTCCACAGGGCCATCCAGGGGTAGATGACCATCATCCAGCGCTCATTTGAGTATGGAGACATTTAATATGCAAAGTTATGTTCAGTTAGACACAGGTCATATGTTATGCAAGCCTACAACCAATCACCATAAATGTGCCCAATTTCATCAGAAGTGGAAAGCCAAGCGTGGTGGAGCCTTGTTAGTACTTGGATGGGTGCCCAGCAGGGCTTGCCAGCTGTTGTAGATGTGAAGCTACGAGGTGGCCAGGAGGTACAAACAGGAGTCTTCTCCAAGTTTTCCCGGTTTCCTCCCCTATGCCAACACCCATGTACATTATATTGGCTGCACAATTCAATGCAGGACTGAAAAAGAGTCTTGGGACTCATTGAGGCTTTTTTGGGTAAACAATTGCTAATATATAACTGTCTTCTTGGTTCTTTCGGTAAAGTCACGTAGAAGGGAAGTAATAAAAAAATAAAAATAATAAAATACTTCTCACGACGTTTCGGCCACAACGCAAGCAGCCGTCCTCAGGTGAAGAACAGGTCTGTCGGAAAGACATTCAGACGCTGTCTTTCCGACAGACCTGTTTTTCACCTGAGGACGGCTGCTTGCGTTGTGGCCGAAACGTCGTGAGAATAATTTTATTATGTTTTATTTTATTATTTCCCTTCTACGTGACTTTACCAAAAGAACCAAGAAGATCAATCCCTGCAGTCACGAAAGCTTTCAATCGAAATATATAACTGGTTATGTACACGTGTTAAATATGGTTAAGTAAATATTTGTTTGAGTAACGTTATGTATGTGTATTTGTAAAAAAAGTTCATGAATGCAAGATTTCCCAGCCTCTAATTTGTTGTGAAATGTTAGTTGCAAACAGCTTTAATCTGTAAAGTAAACAGTTTACAAGAGTAAGCCATTGTGCATCAGTTCCCGGACCCGCAGCCACTTGGAAACGGCCCACTGCAAGCATCTTAGCTGCACTAATCGGGTACTAAAGGGGAATATTTTTTGACCGAGTAACATCGTGTTTTTAATATTACGCTCTTCTGTCACTGGAAAAGGGCCTCTTACATTGACAGAAGTGACTGAGGTGCATGCGTCCATGTGCGATTACCTACGAAAGCTGTAGCATTTGAAAGTTCATTCGGTCCTCAGGAAGGAAAATGTCCCCCACCTGACTTAGCCAGTTTTTATCAACACCGATGGATCCGAGCACATGATGCCCAATGTATTAGGCTGGTAATGGAATGGCAGCTTGAGGAGAGAACATAGCCAAGGGGATTTCCACTGTGGAGATGGAGCAATGAGATCAGTTCACTTGCAGCAATGAGGTAGATTGGTAGATTGGACCGTGAGCCACAATAACAGCGTGGGGAAAACCTTCCACCCAGCAGGAGACTGACCGTGGGCGGCGATGATAATGACGATAATAATCGCACCCACAATTATCATCGTTTGTTATGTATGGTGCGAAAGAAGTTCAACATACATAATGATGTTCTTCGGAGTAACACCTTCTGTGTTCGTCAGATGTCGGTGTTTGTGGCGGCGCTTGCCTTCAGTGTGGCTGTCGTCAACAAGATTGAAATCGGTCTGGACCAGAGGCTCTCCATGCCTGATGTGCGGCTTTGCATTTGCACCAGCTCTTTCATGCGCACACACACGCACAGAGGTCGCATTCACACGCTCAATCGCAGACATTCACGGTTCACGCATACATCGGACGCACATTATAACTTGCAAACACAATTTCAAACTTAAGCATATAAATTCAGTACACTCTAGGTCAGTGTTATTCACTCATTTGCAGAGGGGGGCTGCTTTCACCAGACATTTGAAACCATTGGGTTTGACAGCACGATGATGATGGGGGGTGTTTTCACTCTTTGTGTATTGTCGGAGGCCGCACGTCAGGGGCAACACTAAAGGTCACCAACGGCCGCCAGTCGCCTGCGGGTCTTGCAGTGAAGAACACTCTGCTCTAGCTGATATTGTCACACTCTATCCCAAAACCATGCATTCAGGAACACTAATGTTCATGAGAAATGCTAATTTTACACTTTTGATTTACAGCCCTTGGTCTATATCAGGGGTCTGCAACCTGTAGCTCTGGAGCCACATGCGTCTCTTTAAGAACTGCTTCGTGGTGTTATTTATTGAGGACGTCTCGTATTTACGTGCATTGCGGCTCTTTAAATGTTAGTTTTCCTGAATAAATAATATGGCTCCATTTTGGTTGCCGACCCCTGGGCTATACACTGCTGAATGAAGGCCTCTGCCATACCGTGCCAGTCACGGAGGTTGTTTGATCGTACTTCACCATGCCAGTCAGTTCAGGCTGATGAAGGAGGGGGTGCCCAGAACAGGTTCAGATGTTAACTATGGCCGACGATCACACTCGGGTCGCCGGGTTCATAGCGCAGTAGAACTACTTTTTGTGTTTAGTTTATTGTCTTTTGCCCGCACCTCTGATTAGCATGGGTTGGCTACGTACGGTTCGAAAGAAGTTCAAAATACATATGTACAGGAGTATGCTAATTAATTAAATAAGCCTTGCAAGCAAAGGTCAAAGGGTGAGCCTGTGTGGCTGTGTGTGTTGCAGGATTCTTACGTGTTGACGTACTTCACCGCGTTAAACCGTTTTCTGCACTCGGGCCCGCCGGTGTACTTTGTGGTGGAGGACGGTCACGACTACTTGACGCTGGAGGGACAAAACGTCATCTGCGGAGGGGTCGGCTGCAATAACAACTCGCTGGTGGAGCAGCTCTACCTCGCTGCGCAGCTGCCCAACTAGTACGCGAGCATGCTCTGTGCCGCACAACTTACTCTATAAGCTGGAGCTGGAATTGTCCTATTATATGTTTAGATACTCGCTCCACTGATTATCGGTTTCTTTTACTTGACTCCTCTGACCTCGCAAAAACGGTCGGAAACGAAAGTCTCGCTTCTGTTCCGGCATGTGCCTCTGGACGGGAGGTGATTATCGGGGCTCGGGGACGTCATCGGTATCATCCGGGTCGTGCTAGGCTTGTAGGGGGTCTAGTGTTGTATGAATGTTCTGTCAATGTTCTTGTAATTCTATGGGCACCATGGTGGAGAGTTGTTAACTACCTCGTCTGGTATGGAGGAGGTTGTGGGTTCGATCCCGACCCCCTGACACCTGTATATTTGGAATTTGCATGTCTCTCTCCCTGTGGTCATGTGGATTTTTCTCCGAGCCCTCTGGTTTTTACCTCCACATTTAGAATCAACATCATGCGTTTAGAGTATTTTGCTGCTATATATTTACACATAAGCCACTTCGTTGAGCTGTCATTTGTGGCCAGGTCACTTCTGAAAAAAAGCTACATAGCTCAGTGAGCCTTACCTAGTAAAATAAAAAATGTTCAGTTTTTAGTTTAGTTTCTATACTAAAAAAATTATGAAGTTTTCAACTTGGAAAAGGTAAATAGAAATGACTACGTGTTCTATTTGTCTTAATGCACAGTAAACGGGAGTGTGTACTCTGTCACTGGGTTGTTGGTATACAGGTGTACCTCCTAGAGCGCTCAGGATGCCGATCTTGGTAAACGAAGCGCTATATGAGACAGCGCTATAGGAGGTCACTATAACAAGGTTCCAATGGAGATGCGTACCGACAGCGCAATTTTTTTACTGATGAACGATATCTGAGGGTTTCATTGGGATATCACTAATAGTCTTAATAATAATACTGTACACATGATAAAGGTATTAAAGCATTTTACAAAAAAATAATTACGACGTTTAATGGTGGTAACATTCGGTCGGAGCTTGTGTAAAATGAACCACTGCCTGCCGTAAACATGTTCTGCGGAAAGCTGTACAGTACTAAACAATCCGATCCATCAATCACCACTGAATCGATGCAGTGATTAACCCCTAATCAATTGATACTCTAACGTGACCGTCGGATCGACTATGAGCAGAATAAATACAAAAGACACCTTGATTCAGGTTCCACAAGACCAGATATGGGCAAAGACGCTCCTAAAGGCAACACCACGTCTACCTTCATATATGGGCTGATCCGCACAGAAATTATGCCTCCAAGACAAAAAAGCGTGATAACGGAACAGCGTTATATGAGGCAGCTAGATGAGGCAGCGCTATAAGAGGTATGCCTGTATAAGAATGAAGGTCGTGTGGTCTTCGCATGTCTAAGGTTATGGAGTCAATAATTAACTTGCTTTTAAGCGCATTCCTTTGTGTTGCAGCACCAGGATTGGCTACGCTCCGTCCTCTTGGATCGATGATTACTTTGATTGGGTGAAGCCACAATCCAGCTGCTGCAGAGTGTTTAACTCCACTGGGGACTTCTGCAATGCGAGCCGTACGTTTACATGTTTAAACATGAGCATCCACGCAGACAATTACGCTTCGGCCTCAGAAAATTTGCAAAAAATTACACGACTGTTTTGGTAAACTGCAAATGATAAAATGTTAAAATGCACAATTATTATTGTTGCATATAAGTGATGAGCAGTCTCCCTCTTGTTATGTATGTGCGCTGTTGCGGGGAGCGGTAGTGCAATGGTTAGTGTGCCGCAATACCAACCCAGCGACCAGAGTTCGATTCCCGCTCAAGCTCAAAACACCAGTGGGCCTCCTCCAGGTCGACTCATCCTCAAATGAGTACCTGCTGCGATGTGTAAACATCGTCACTCGGAAGACAAAGGCGGCCAGGCGTGGTGTTGGCCACCCAACCCTCGTGTGCTGTGCCAGCTTTCATAGATTCTCACTAACAACACTTGCCCCAACAGTTTGTGAAGGCTATATGACAGATCTTTGTTTTTGTGTGCCGTTGTGTGCAGTGCCCGGCCCGGATTGCGTTCCCTGCCGTCCACTCACGCGAGAGGGAAAGCAGCGACCGCTTGGCGATAACTTTACTCACTTCCTGCCTATGTTCCTCTCCGACAACCCAAGCATGCATTGTGCAAAAGGGTCTGCATCTCACATTCCACGCACAATTCCACTCGCACGACTCTTGTCGAAGTCTCCCCAGGGGCGCATTTAGTCTTCTCGTCATCATGACACTCGGCAGGCTCTGTTCTTAAAATCTTGCAGGCAGAGATGTGTCCTGCTCAAACCTGCATTGTGGCTGCGCTCATTTCCTGTTTACAGTCCTGAGCCAGTGGTGGAAAGTCCACATTCCTCTTTTGGGGGCAAGTGTCATCACCTATCCCTGTCCCCACGTCTCTCCTCTCACTGGACTCCCCTGTTCGTTCCTTTTGCTCTGACTTACTCAGGCCTCTTGGTACAGCTCACGATCAACCTCCAGCCTGTGGTTGGTCGCAACCTCCTCCCCTGCGGCGCCTGGTGTTTGTCATTCTCTCTCCACAGTTGTCTTCACTGCTGATTTCCTCCACTGCTTCAAGGCCTGGTGGAAGATCTCTCCTCTGCCATTGACTAGTTTTTTCGCTCAAAACACTACCTATTTTTTCCACAGTCCTCCACTTCTATCCACATCATCACCCCTCCATTTACCCTCATTGCTTATTTTAACTATTAATACTCATTAGAGTAAAATCGCCGTAAGTCTGGGGGTTGCAATACCATTACAATCATGTGCTTACCGACGGACAGTCATCTCCTGATCACGCTTCGATCACTCCTCCCATGGTTTCTGTTCCCGTGAACGTCACTCGTTGATTCTTCCACCCATGCTGGAGACTTGGTTTACCCGACTGACTGGTTCGTCTCAGCCATACTGCATTTAACGATCGCCACACTGCAGGTCACAACACTTGCCTTTTCGTTTCTTCCCTCGCACTACTTCACTTTTGAATTCCTTCCCATCATCTCGATCTCTTATAAATAACATTGCTCCATCCAAGAGACATGTCAACTTCTATCTGTAACAACTTTGATAGTTTGTTGCTGGTTAGTGGAAGATTGTGGCCTTTAGGCCAATGCTCAGAAACAGTTTTCTTTTTAAAGAGCTCAACTAAAGTGTGCCCTGGGCCGTGCCTCTGTGCCCTCTTCTTGGTGCGGCGAGCTCACGACGTTGTGCGTTTGTGGCTGACCAGGGGACACGCAGCGTATGGCAGTGCGGTGTCGGTGAATGGCTCCCACGTTGGCGCCACCTACTTCATGAGCTACCACACCATCCTCACCGAGTCAGGGGACTTCATTGCTGCCTTGAGGAACGCTCGCACCATCGCCACCAACATCACAGCCGCCCTTGGCCCCACGCTCCCAAAATACAGGGTCTTCGCGTACAGGTACCGTCACGAATCATCTTGAGTTTTGCATACGCTGCCTGCATCACCTAACCCACAGTAATATGGAAATGGGATGGTCACCTCATGTAGGTATGATGTGCTAATGTAGCCCACTCACCCGTCTTCTTGTGAGCTCTCAATTCCAACCACGCGACACCATTGGTTATAAGTACAGTATGAACTCATAACCAGGAGGAAGGTGAATAACACCCGTGGGGCTTTACCGATTACGATTCCACGCCCTGTAGTGAATTAAATACATTGGGGTTGAGGAGTGGAAGGTGGGGGGGAGAAGGGAAGAACAGGAGCTGATGTGACCTAAGCTGACTATGTTGGGGCTACAGTGCGCATTTGTGTGCGTGGAAGGTGGAAGGGTGGCAAATTGGTTAGCGCATTGCACTACAAACTGATCCTGGATCTCCCCTAGGTTTGCTCAGCCTTAAATGAGTACCTTGTGCAGTGTGTAAACCTCAGCACTGGGGAGACAAAGGCTGTGGTGCTGGTCGTATCACCCATTGTTCGCTTTTGGTCTTAATAGGTGCTCGCTAACAGCACTTGCTTCAACAGTCTATCTGACTATATCGGGTATCTGTCTTGTGTGAGTAACAGTGTTTGTGTTTTTTTGTGCATGTGTTTTGTGTCTATGCATTTATGTGATTGCATTGTACTTAGTGCATTTTTACATATTTAATAAGTACATATTTTCTGCATGTGGATGTTATGTAATATATTGAACTCTTATTCTTTGGGTCTTTCGGTCAAACCACGTAGATATAAAAAAAATATCACGAAGTTTCGATCACAACACAAGCAATCGTCAGCAGGTGAAAAATTATTTCTATGGCTTTACCAAAGGACCCAAAGAATATGAATTCCTGCCATCACGAAAGCTTTCATTGGACTCTGTTTCTGTAGAAAAACATAAATGTGATTTTTTTCCATCTGGAATTGTTAATATTGGATATATCAAAGTTGGGTGTCCAGATGCCCCTATTGTCAATCAGAATAACCGGATTCTGAATTCCACACATCTATAATTAGGTCACCAATTTAGGTCGTTTCTTATGCATACTATACTGCCATTAAGTCATTAGGATAAAAATAACTTCATGTTAATTTAAACATTGTGTTAGATTGGGTCATGCAGCCAATAAACCTTTTTGTGTATTACAAGAGCAAAGACAAAGCAGTGGTTGGCGGACTGCACCATGTGAACCCAGCAGCCGGAGTGTGATTCTTGACTGGTTAACATCAGTTTTGAGTGACATCTGAACTGATTCCTGCTTTTAAAAACCTGCACTGACCAGCATAGTGAAGTATGGTCAAACAACTCGCATGACAAAGGGTGGTACACTATTATTTCATTCTCGTATAACAAGTTGAATCTTGAATTGAAATGTGACAATTTATAAAAAAAAAAATTGGGAGGAGTGAAACATTCCTAGGAAACAGTCTACTTAGAATCAGAGTTGTAGTCTTTATTTATCCTGGAGAAATTTGATGAGTTATGAAGCTTTTGTGACTGCAGAAAGCCATACTCTTTGGTTCTTTCGGTAAAGTCACGTAGGTAGAAAAATACACAGACTTGACATTAACTTGCTAATCCCCCTAATCTCCCTGCCTAATCTCTCCCATCAACATAGCGCTAATCTCCCATTAACACTGCTGTCGTGCGCATATACGGGGACGATACTCTTATGCGGCGACGGAAGCTTATTTCATGCTAATCTCTCCCTAATCTCCCCCATTAACACAACTGAGGTGCTTGCGTCCGGGGATGGAATTCCTTTCCAGCTCAGACCCCGCTTGCTTGCCCATCGCCACGTAAATAACCTCTTGTTGTAACAGCTCTCTCACTGGTTCAGCAGTTCCACTGCTGGATTATTTTTTCCGCTTTAGGACGACCGTTTGTGTTGCGATCGAAACGTCATGATATATTATTTTTTGTTTTATTTTATTTTTCTACCTACGTGACTTTACCAAAAGAACCAAAGAGTTTGTCCAGTAAACTGTTAGATCCTTCTCGAAAGGCGGTGTCTCATTTGTGGCTTTTATTTAACCAGAATTCACGCCTGATTTGTTTCACATTTCATGAGCTCGACTGAGTGTCTGCTGTTGGCTCGGAGTGTGTGGCTCTCAAGCCGCATCAGGCTGTGTGAGCAGATGGGCATTGCTCTGTGCAGTTGATGATGGCTGCAGGGCTGAAAGAGCCAGCAAGAATCAGTGTCGTTGGTTTAAGCAAGAACATTCTGACGTTGGCTTTTTTGTTCTCATGTTCACAGATGCATTACTCAGTCTAATTTGTACGTTTCATTTTTTGCTGCGTTATGTTTACAAGCCCACCGTGTGCGTGCACGTCTCTTCCCATGCAGCATTTTTTACGTCTTCTACGAGCAGTACCTGACCATTGTAAACGACACGGTGTTCAACCTGAGCTTGTCGCTGGGAGCCGTCTTCCTGGTCTCCATCCTGCTCCTGGGCTTGGAGGTGTGGTCAGCGCTCACCCTGACCCTCACCATTGCCATGATCCTCACCGACATGCTGGGCGTCATGTGGCTGTGGAGCATCAGCCTCAACGCCGTGTCTCTTGTCAACCTCGTCATGGTGAGGATTGACGGAATTTCCTTCATTACTGAAATTGTTTTGGGGGGGGGCGGGGAGGTCGACAATTTTAGGAAACCTTTTAGATCATCTATTTACCCGCCACTTTCTATTACTTTTAGAATCAGGACTTCTTCAAGCCTCTTATAATTTTGTTGCTGGACAAATGGACAGACAAGCGGAATGCCGGGCTTTCACAATAGCTTAGTACTTGTATATGTGTAGTGAGTCCAACTGAGTGGCAGACGTTATTCTTCAGAGGCAACACATTTATTTGTAACACGTATATACAAAGGGGTAACTGCTCCTTTACCAGATACAGCCTAGGGTGGTGACCACCCAGCTAACTCCACTATACATTGGAGTTACAGCTACGAAGGGTTGGACCCTCACTCGTGTCCCCGGCCACGTGTTGGTGCCTCTTCAGACGTAGGACGTAGAACGTGGAGCTTCCAGCTTGTAGAACGAAGCGACCCTGGCCCTTCTCAGAAACCCACCCTATATCCTCCCGGGTCGGGGCCGGCTCCACCCTCTGCCCCGCCCTCGGCCTCACCCACGGCCCTGTGCACGGCCCCGCCCACCTTTGCGAGCGTTCCAGCTCCCTCTCGAGAGCTCTCCCCGGACACGTGCTCACCCCCTAGCCTCCCCACCTGGGGCCCTCTCTGGACACTCCGGATCACGTGCCTACGGGGTCAACCAGAGTGCGATGGCCCGGGGCAACCCTGTCCCTGGGCTGACACTTTCCCTCTCCCTTTTGCGGGAGCCTGCACCACACGCCACGCGCGGTGCCCGCGCTATCCCAGCGCTCGCCAAGCCCCGCTAAGGCTGGTACTACACCCACCTACGGGGTGTACGCGATGATGGTGCATCGCACGCCGTGCTATGCTCGAGCCGGCCTCACACAGCAACACACACGGTGCTATCCGCGATGTAGGGACAACGCACGCCACGGCCCTCCCGGGCCGGCACCATACAGTGACATCCCTGATGTCACTACATCTCGTATGTGTTATGTTTTTAGGAGAAGTTTTGAAATATATTTTTACCCCTGGCCAGGTACTTGCCGCGAGTGAACAATAAAACAAAGCATTAAATATTCAACATTGCATTTAACACATTTACATGAATCCCAACAATTATGTTCTCGCTTTCAAGTAATGTGACAGTTAACCCCCTTAAACTCAAATTTGTGGTGAATTGTGGAGCTGTGTCTGTAGCCTGGTATTATCTGGGTGTGTGTGTTTAACCATGTAAATGTCGCTCTCCGAGTCTCAGCGAGGGTGACCGTCTCACCTTGTCATCTTGTGTTGACTGATTGGCCGAGTACTGTAGCTCAGTGTGCAAGACAACTGTGACTGAGGGACCACGGCAATGTGGCCTTCAGTGTAGTTGGCCAAGGGATTGTGGCCATTTAACACCTCCGCTATAAAGAGGAATGTTGTTCATTCATTCCGGAGCAACAAATGTGATTTTTGTTTGCTTTTTCATTCAAGAAGATTCATGTTTGAAACCAGTTCCCGCTTCGGTTTGGCTCTGGCAAGAAGAGCGGGCGGATCGGCAGGCACTTGGGGATAATGCGGGTTGGTCGCCTGGGTAGCGCGCCACGTGGCAGGCCAGCCAGCAGGCCAGCAAGTGGGTATCGGATGTGCATGTAGGCACCAGGCTAGCATTCCAAGCACCTCTCCAAGCAGCTGGTACATCTTCTGCACACTCGGTAAACATTGAAGCAGCATTTTAGCAGCTCGTCAAGGAAGCAGAATCCAGCGGGCAGCTCTAACATCATCAACAAGCTCAGCGGAGACCTTGAGTTGGTTCAGAAGTAGCAATTGTATACATGGATAAAAAATTTAAATACTGTGTAAATAAATATTAAATAATTTCACGTCAAGAAATGTTAATACTAAAGTGTATTATAATTTACATCAATAATAGTAACACATATTCACTTCTCTATTGAGTAGCCGAAATCCGGCAGGATTTTAATCGCTGCTGGGTGAAACCTTCTCAAGGCGTTGCCCTTTCTCAGTCTCGCAATGCAGCGGTCTGCCTAGCGCAGGGGTCAGCAACCAAAACAACTAGAAAAGCCATTCTTTTCAAATTCGGTAAAAAAAACTTTATTTCAAGAGCCGCAATGCACGTGGTGAATACAAGGCGGTGGTCCTTGGTAAATAATGTCATGAAAGAGTCCTTAAGAACCGCATGCGGCTACGGAGATGCAGGTTTACCGACCCCTGGCCCAGCGCCAGCACAGAGCCCCCCTCGTCGTTCCACCTCTGAGGTCGCCATCCTCCGCGGGCATGTTCCTGCTTCTTAAAGTTGACCACTCCGGTCCGTGTGTTCAAGCTTCGTCTTCTTCTGTACACATCTCTAAACAAATAAGTAACTTTAAACTTCCTCCTCAATTTGCAAGCATTTCGTTAAAAGAAAATAGGATTTTTATTATTGTTTAACACAACGCAAAATATGGATTACATTTTTTGTTCTCATGCCGAGAGAAAATCATAAAAAATCACAGTGGTGAACCCTTCATTTGAAATGGCATGGAATAGACTGGCGAGTGCTAAATTCACCCGAATGTAATTGACTTTAATATGTTAAACTGCCAAGAAATGTTTGTAATGTGGACGTGGGTGGAGTGGTGGCACAACGGTCCGCGCATTGCACTGCCAACCAAGTGACCCAATTTGATTCCCAGCCACGGCTGACACCGGTTCGTGAGTTAAATCTAAACCGGTCGTGTTCCTCCACCACCCCTGCATTTTACATACCTGCGGGTAAGGACAACAAACTAAACACAATGAGCAGTTCTTAAAGAAATGAGTATTCAATCTAGATTGAAAAGTGCATAGCTCCAGTTCTTTTCTAATATCGGAAGGAAGAGCGTTTCCAGACGGTCGCAGAAGCGCATTTGAAAGCGCGCGTTGCAGTGACCATCTTTACTCGATGGTTATCCAAAAGCCGCTGCTGCGAGGATGGCCAGAGTTTGCGTGTTGTTTTATGCTCCTTGATGAGATATTGTGGTTCATTGGTAAATTATGGTCAAACAATCCCAAAGATTGACTGCATAGGAAAGCCTTGATCCAGCAGTGGACTGACAAAAGGCTGTATATAATGTGGGTAAGGCATTGTTTGGTTAAGGCATTGTTGGGGAGAGATGGGAGAGTGGAAAGTAACTTGTTTAAAAACGTCAAAAACTTTTTAAAATATAAACATTAAAGGCTTTTAGATAGCATTGAGTTCACAAGATGGACAAACAGTAGTTGCTTGCTTTTAAAAACTCTGAATTTGAATGCATTTTATGAAATGTCTTTGTCGATGTCACAATGAAACAGGGTCAGAATCCTCTGAGCGAGACCTTTGTGTGTGTATGTGTTCACTGTAGTGTGTGGGGATATCGGTGGAGTTCTGCAGTCACATCGTGCGTGCGTTCTCAGTCAGCACTCAGCCCACCCGTGCACTGCGCGCCAAGGAGGCTCTGGCTCACATGGGTAGCTCGGTACGTATGTCCTCGCACTGTGTCGTTATACACAAGCGTGTGTGCACGCGTTCATGGCGCGTTTGTCTATCCACTGCCGTGCATGTTGCGTAGGTCATTTAACCACACTTTTCCACGTCGGTCACTGCTGGTCAGTGAAGGCGGGGAACAGATCTGGGAGCACACAAGTACAGTACAACAGCAAGTTTTGTTGCACTGCCTTCTGCCCACCATGTCCTACAGCAGCGGGACACACTTGTTATGCAAGGTGGTCTGCTTAGCTTGTGAGATGTGATGAGATGGGGCACATTCCCGGTAATTTGGTTATAGCCTGCTCTTCACTCCGCTCAGTAGAAATGGGGAAGGATTGTTTAGCTGCCTGTCCGTGCTCTGCTGAGTGACAGGTCGCCAGAGGGTTTACTTTGTAACCCACGAGGATGGGTTCGCAATGCCATGTACGCCATCGCATGTAACAAGAGTACAATAGAAGCACCAAAAGGGATTGTCTGTCTATAGAATCACTGCATCACTGCCTTTCTTCATTAAGAACTATTCATATGTACCTGTACTTATATTCCTGTCTCACGTTGGTATACGCGGCATACTGTCCATACCCACACTTGCCACGCAATACAAAATGTCGGTGTCTTTGGAAATTACAAACCGACTGCTTCGTGAACAACGATTAATTGAAACGAACATAGTGGCATTAAACAGTTTCACCACCATCCCATAATGCAAAATTGCTGACACTCCTGCTGCAGAGGCCTATGCTAGTTTAGAGGCATCGAACAGAACGATTGGAGGTAAAGATGGGATTTAAGAAGGGTGTTTGTCACCCACTTTTCATCAGTGTTGTGCCCTACTGTGAATAATATATATTTGATTAGTACATTAGGAATCTAATGAAAATATACATGATAAACTTTAGAATATATAGATGGTGCGGGTTTGTAGGCTATAGCATGGCAACTATGGGCAGTTTGTATGCACTGAAGCCAGGATAGTAGGGCCTCAAGTTGAGCAGCTTAAGAAGAGTGGTTCTCGCATAGTTATTGCAGGTGAAACTATGAGTCGTGAATGTGGAGCCGAGACTGGTTTCAAGACGGACACACAAAGGGTGACAATCAAGTGGGAGACCGAAAGCCAAGTTGTGGGATTGTATCAAAGAAGATCTTGGCTGTGTGGCCAAAGGAAGAAAGCCAGTGAATCAGGATATGTATTTATAGTGGAGGAATCTGATGAGCTATAAAGCTCTCTTAATTTTGGAGCTTTCGTGACTGCAGGAATTATTCCTTGGTTCTTTCGGTAAAGTCACGTATAAAGATAAAATAATAAATTAAATAATAGCATACTGCGACGTTTTGATTGCAACACAAGCAATCGTCATCAGGTATAAAAGAAATGGCAACAAAAATCTAACCAGAAAACTATAGACAGACATATAAGCAGACATATCACAAAGATACACAGAGAGAGAACACGTATCGGCACAAAGAGAGGGATCGTCTCTGTGACGAGGCCTTAAATATAGAGAGGGGGCGGGGGCGGAGAGAGGGAGGGGGCAGAGAAAAAAATTAGCATGTCAATGAGTGGACGACGACGTGGTACGGTACGCAAGCTTGACAATTAGGAGAAAGACACACTAAAATTAAATAACCTAGTAAAATATCGAAATGTAATGCAACACAGAGAGTCGGTCAACACACAATTAACGCATAGCCTGGTTGATTACGTATTTCAAAGATTGCTAAGTTAGAATTTAAGTGTGAAAATTCCAAAGAGAGGACACAGGCAGAGAGAGAAAACAAAAAACCAGAGAGAGAGAAAAAAGATAAGCTTAAAACTTCCCCGTAGAAGTGGTTCAATCTTAATTTTGGAGCTTTCGTGACTGCAGGAATTATTCTTTGGTTCTTTCGGTAAAGTCACGTATAAAGATAAAATAATAAATGTAATAATAGCATACTACGACGTTTCGATTGCAACACAAGCAATCATCATTTCGATATTTTACTAGGTTATTTAATTTTAGTGTGTCTTTCTCCTAATTTTCAAGCTGGCATACCGTACCACGTCGTCGTCCACTCATTGACATGCTAATTTTTTCTCTGCCCCTCCCTCTCTCCGCCCCCGCCCCCTCTCTATATTTAAGGCCTCGTCACAGAGACGATCCCTCTCTTTGTGCCGATACGTGTTCTCTCTCTGTGTATCTTTGTGATATCTGTCTGCTTATATGTCTGTTTATAGTTTTCTGGTTAGATTTTTGTTGCTATTTATTTTATACCTGATGGTGATTGCTTGTGTTGCAATCGAAACATCGTAGTATGCTATTATTTAATTTATTATTTTATCTTTATACGTGACTTTACCGAAAGAACCAAAGAACTATAAAGCTATGTTTCACAGATGTTCAATAGGGGCAAGTCAGAACCCTACAACAACAAACAATACAAAAGCACGAAAGGAGTGCAATGTGTAGGAAAGGTAAAGAAATAACTTGCTTACCTTTTGAGGTGTGGTGGAGTCAATGGTATTGGCCAGAGTGACCTATCGACTTAAATTCCTTTTAGATCTTGCAGTGTGGTAAATGTCTTATTTATCATTCAGTGTGCGTATAACAATGGGTGTGGTAATATTTGTTTGTTTCTTGTGCTCTTTGAAGGTGTTCAGCGGCATCACGTTGACAAAGTTTGGTGGGATTGTGGTGCTGGCCTTCTCCAAGTCGCAGATATTCAAGATCTTCTATTTCCGCATGTACCTCTCCATGGTGCTGCTGGGGGCAGCTCACGGACTTATATTCCTGCCCGTCTTGCTCAGCTATGTTGGTACGCCATGCTCCAATTACTTATTTTTAGATCATTAACACAAGAGTTAACACACAACTAATTGCCTTCTTGAAACATTTTGTGCAGTTTTTTTCCTATCCCAAATTTTTATTCTGATTGTGTCCTCGGGAGTCATGTGATGAGACGAAGCAGTGCTGCTACCACCCTCTGTGTTGGACAACGGCCCACAGAAGTGTATGTCACAGAGCTGCCTCTAGGATCCCTTCAAGTGCTCTTTGTTCGACGAAGCAGGGGGCAACACTTTCCCACCCACTCTGCAATGGTCGTCACATGCACTGTCAAACTGGTAGTCATGATTATCGGAACTGGAATTTAGTCAAAATAATCAAAATAAGTGCGGAACAAAACTCGGGAACTTGGTTTAACGACAGGTTAAACCGGTTCCCAATTATCTGAAAAGCATGAAAGCCCAAATATGTCAACCAAAGGTAATTTCTTGGACCATCCATCGAAGATCACCGGCCCAGCCCTCCGTATTTGTCAACTCCACGTTGAAGGCCTATCCAGAGCGAAATGTGAGGTCTTGTCAAAATAACTTACACCAACACAATAAATGCACTTGAACAGAACTACGTAGCTATATGAGGGTTTGCGGTCAGCAGTTGAGACTAACTTTGGGAGTGGCAGTCAAAGGAGGGAAAAGTATCCGTGGAGCAATGAAAGCAGCTCGATGAATGGTACCATAGCAGGACCTCAAAAGATAGTAGTGACTAGTTTGGAATTACCTTATCCAGCTGTGGATTGATCATGGCTGACAATGATGATGGACGTACATTATGCCCATGCAATGATGCAATGTGACTAGTGCGCATAGGAAGATCCTCGTCGTTTAGTTATGATGAGCTCTCAATATTCGAGGTATGAATACCCGTCTACAACAAGGACATGGCACAGCATAGAGCATTTGGCACGTCGTTGTGTTGTAAGGTGCAATGTAAACGTGATTTTAGCCGACGTGATTGAACGGTTTTCTTTTAAATCCCAATGCTGTGTGTGGCGGCCGCCATGTTGTCCCGTCGACAGGTGCGCCGGTGAACAAGGCCAAAGTGTTGGCTGCCCTGGAGAGGAGGAAGGGCACCGAGAGGGAGTCCCTGGCAGGCTCCTCCGTTCGGACTCGCTTCTCCGTAGGAGGGTGGTATTAATGCCTGGAGCCTTGCACACACACACAGACGGCTGGAAACATGCACAAACGTGTGGTGGCCCCACAAGCAGATGCTTCACACAGACAGGCACGCACACGACACACTGTGACACTCGGATGGGTGAAAACTGAAAATCAAGTTGTACGCGCATGGGGGGTGCGTATGACCGATAACATTAAGCAACAGATCGAAAGCACGCAAACTGACTTCTCACTCGCAAATTACACAGAATTGGATGTGCATTACAGTCTACGCCTGTCCACAATTCTCATGCCCTGCACGCAGGCACTGGGTAGACTTTGTTGTGCATGTGCACGCTGAGTCTCTGCATTATTCACACGTAAGTTATTACAACATTTTACCGTTTAAATAAAGTTTTGCAACACATTTTAAAGCTTACATTTATGCACTTAAATACAAATTATCCTGATAGCTAATACACGCTGGAGAAGTACAGTAAAAATATAGTTTCTAAATGAATGATAAAACTATTAAGTCACGTAGATAGAAAATTAATAGATCACAACGTTTCGATCGCAACACAAGCAACCGTCATCAGGTGAAACAAACACAGCAGGAGAACTGCTGACATAGGAGGCGATGATAGCATTGTGAAGACATTGGAACGTGAGGAAATGCAAAACCCACCCATGTACTGAAGTTGTCATTTTGAATGGCTACGCCTAACTCGTGTTTCTTTTCTGTGCACTGTGGATATCTTAAGACGATGAAGAACAATGCGGCAGTGCCATTGAGCTACTGTTAGTGTAGCGTTGTGGACAAGTTACGCGTCTGGCAATAAGACAAAGCAAGTTTATGTTAAATGCTGAATAGGCTCGAACTTGAAAGTTTCATTTATCCTGAAATCCAGTTTTAAATCTTTAAGAGGAAAGCCGCTTGTGGAAGGCCATCCCAGCCTCCCCCTTCCCCATACTTAATCATGCTGATTGTGATTGCTGCTAATTTAAAGCAGTTTGTTAAAATTGCATAATTGATACTCGGTTAATGTTAAGAGGGCACGAGGTGTTTTGATCCACTTCACGTTCGTATTCGTCTTAATATGCAATGACTGGAAACATGTTGAGCATTGCAGACTTTATTAAGTTACGTGCAAAGTTCATCTCAAAAGTGGTTGTTATTTATTAATATTGGCAAATGTCATCGATCTGAATCCAGAGATTATATTAGCTTTCAAACCTGGGCTCGGTCGCTCTTGCGTACGTTTTAGATTCCTGAATTCCGCAACGAGCGAGGAGGAGCGTCCAATAATTTAAGAAGCGCCGATTGTTTGTTTGCGAATCCTTGATATACATCTTGATTACCTCCTAAAATACTCTAAATTTTCCTCCCTAACGTTTGAGACTCATTTATATTTAACTGCATTCCTTTGCAATATTAGCATGTGGTGAAATAACTTCGGGTGCACATTTAAACACACGCTTGTATAATTGTTGAACAGCAAGTAAATTGTATTCCACGTGTTGTAGCTGTGCCTCCTCAATAACATAGCTATTCACTGGCGCTAATTCACACATAGTTGTTTATTGGAAGATTGCAAAGTGTATTTTTGTTGTTGAAAACTGCCCGAGATAGATTGAATGAAACATGGTCAAAGTTGCTATCAAGTATTGTGGAGCTTCTCGTTATGGGTTAAAATACTGTGGTGCACTAACTTGCTTTTAGAAAACTGCACGCGAACAGTGGATGCATACATCACAAAGTCAATTAATTGCAATTGCTTACTTACGGTAGATTCGACACAAAAGTGTGCTTGTGGTTCATTGTTCAAAAGAGAACAGGTGGGAAGGCATCTGCTTATGAGGGAGGGTGTAGAGGAGGGTCGAGGAAAAGAGGATAGATACGTCGGGATAGTGTGGGGTCAGGGTAGTGGATGGTTACAGAAATATGAACAACACCCTCGAAGATAAATCGGCACGTGCGTTTAACTCCCCGTGCAATTGAGTTACAGCGAAGCGGTAGTTTGGTGTATTGCACAGTTTAAGTGCAAGTGTTCCAGTACATTTTAACCACATTTTCCTTGCTTATCAGCATGGCTTGCGGGTGATGAACTGTTGTACCTTGCTTCCTTGTTCACAAACAACTCCACTGGTATTCAGGCAATATATGCAATATATACAACATGAAAACAACACTGGAATTTCCTATACCCAGGCTTGTAATGGAATGAAATTAATTGATGTTGCTCTGCAGATGCATTTAATCTACATGAATTATATTGGCTCTTAAAGAGACGTGCCATTGCGTGTGTTTAGGTAATGCTGCAAGTCAATGTAGCGGACATGCAAATGCATCAGTGTTCATTGCCCTGTCACTGGGGTTTGTGCGTTGTCTTTGTGGGTTCTACAGCCACAGCTTAACCAAGCCATTGAAGGGACTGCTGGTTGATAGTTAACTGGTAATTGCACAATAACCAACATAGCAAATTGAAACGAACATTTTACAATTAAACCTAGAATATACCGAATGATATTTATTTTTTCTGCGTTATGAAGGTAGTTGTGAATGGTTGGTTGTGAACGGTCGTCATCCGTTTGATATTCCAGAGAATCCGAGGGGTTCATTGAAGGGATTTGTAACCATTTTTTGTGTGGCCAAGGAAGCGGTGAAGGCGGTGTTGGATTTTCGTTTAATAATGCATTCCTGTGTTTCATGTTGGGGAGACATTACCATTAAAACTAGTTTAGATGTAAATACTGAAATGGTAAATTGCTAAAATCTTTTATTTTTGTTGTGATTGATCATTTCTGATCACACTCGGCTTGTGCCAGCACACACTGCATAGGCGCCAATACTTTTGTATTACAGCACTTGACAGCTTCATCTTATGTGAAGCGGTCTTAAGCGAATCGTAAAAATAAATTGTTCCCGTGGCTGAATTGACCCCCCCCCCCCATCCCTTAGCTACTCTTTATTTTAATCATAGGGGGGGGCGAGAAACACCTTTGCATTTACGCTGTACTCGCCACGTTTCGGTCATGGGACGACATTGCACGACTCGACGGTTTCTTCTTCGCTTCAAGCGGCATCCGACGACTTGTGGGGGGTGTTGCCTAGTTGTGCTGCTGGGGATCTGCATTCCGAATGGATATTTGCGCTATCGGCACGTCTGTAAACCACCGAGCATTGGGACTAAATGGTCAGCGCAATGGAGGCTTTTGTCATGGGACTAACCCACATACGATTGCAGGAGGGTGGAGGAGCCTACATGCCTGGCAAGGAGCCTTACACCCCTTGCCAAGGTATGTACGCATCATGTCAAATCGCTAGGCGAGACAGGTAGAATTGCTTCTATAATTTTCCGTGCGAGATTTAGCATTTGAACGACTAACAGATTCCCGTGCCAGCATCGCAATATGCGTCTCACCGCCCTGCGTGAAATGTTTAATTTCATTGAAGCGGAGCCGTTTTGGCCATGAGGATATTCTAATGACAACTGTGCATACACCCTCCGATTCTGATTTAGGATATTGTGGCAGTTTTGTTTAATAAAAAGTGCCTCGTGCATTGTAAATGATCGCTGTGTTTCCTGCAATGTTGTTGTGGCAGCAATCGGTGGACACAAGCATAATACTCTTGAAGCGCACATCTCGGCAGTTCACGTTGGAAATTAATGCTCTGGGTTGTCATTGCGTTGATCAGCTTCACAACACGCACCTCAAGCAACTTCGTACAGCTCAGGATGTCAGTTCGCTTGGGTTTCAGTTGGGACCTTAATATTACAGTACTTAGTTTTTACCAAGTTAAAGGGTGCTTGTCTGTATTAAATTTGTATTTACAGTTGTCATTTTACTGTAACATACACACATTGTTCTTGTTTACTGTGGTCCATGGGGCAGGATGCTGTTTGCTGCAGTGCTTAAGTTCAGCCTGAACAGTGCAGAACATCGATCAGGGAATTGGTTTTACACGGCAAATCCATTATCTCGCCTTGTTTTATACGCGCAATTTTCATATAACTGTTCATAGCATTATAGAAATATAAAATACGATAACAGACGTTATTACGGATAGTAGTGCCTTACGCCAGTAATCCCAACTTCCAAGCCAAGCTTAGCAGCGCTACAGAAAATACGTGGTCAGAAACTCGCTGCTGGTTAGTGGTCATGACTACAGACATTTTGCAAAAAATGGCGTAGTTTTTTGTAAAAATGTAGGTTTATTGTGAAGTAAACGCCATTACCGAGCACTTAAATAATAAAATAGAACACCTCGGGAATGTGTAAGAGCAATGCTGGTACCACCGTGGCCCGCTGGAAATCGCAGCTGCTGATCCCATTCGCCGTTGAGTCGTCCCCATTGTACAGTGCCTATGTAGTGGTGACACGGGCTGCTTACCCACAACCTCAACCTCGCGTCTTTCCCCAGCCATTGTTACAAAGTCCCATGTGGATATTGTTAAAGTAGAAGTTTATTTTTCCTTGATTTAATATTTGAATGTAGTTTACATCACTTTTACCTATTTCTGTACACACGTTGGTGATACTGCGTTGGCAGTACGCTACAAATAACAAAGGACTCGACGCATCTGTCAATGACACTTGCCTTAAAAATGATCGTGCATGTGTATACATAATAGGCGTTGGGCTTTTGGCAATTGCCCTTCATAGCTCATTAATAGATGGGAGAGGGTAAGAGTTGGGGCCTGCTCTTGACACCGTGGGGCTCTCTGAGAATTAACTTTTAAAATGTTTCCTGATTAACTCGCCTTAGACGGGTGTGAATAGTAGCTATTGAGAAACAGCCAAGCCCCTTAAATAACCCCTGGCCTTATGAATGTGCTGTGAAGAATAGACATTGCCTGCACATTTCCTTTGAAGGCAACGGTGTTATTTATGAATGCGATTTTTCCGTGCATCCTGTCCGCGTTCATAGTCTCGGGTTGTCGTATATTTGTAATGATCAGGGCTGCTAAGAAGCACAATTCTGAAATTGGTTATCATTTTTGTGTGTTAATGCCATTGGGTGGGTTTTTTTTCTCCGAGAGAATCCAATTAACGTGCATTATGGAGATTTCCTTTTGGCAACAAATCCATCCAAAGTGCTTCCTATAGTCGCTGGGAAACAACGGTGTGGAACTACAATGATTTGTAAAGGCAATATGTAGTTATACTTGTGTATATGTGCCAATGTAAGTCTTGTTACCACAATTTGTGTGTTTTGGCACTGAAAACGATGTTTATTTTTCAAGTGCTAAGACCAAAAGAGGATGAATTCCTGCAGTCACGAAAGCTTTAAATCGACATGAATACAGTTTGAGAGACATTTCCATCTGTGACTAAAATGGTATCCACTTATGATTTCATTCGCATGGTTTTGTAACATTTGAAAATAAACGTTAAACTCGAACGTGTGTTTATCTACCTCATTACGAATGAATTTAAAGAGATTAAATTTCAGATATTGCGTTTAAGTGAATGCTGCCGTTCGAAATTACGGAAAAAAGAAAATTTGCTGGTGGAGATTGAATAACTCCGGACATCGTAAAAGCAGTGCGAAGACCAGCTGTTGGAACAAAATGAGTGGAGCTGTTCACTTAACGTTTGCACAAAAAATGAAATGCCTCCATTGTGGAATAATGTCTGAATGTTTAAAAGGGCAACACACTGATTCGAAGGATTACACATACACACTTTTGTTTTCAGAACCTTTATTTAGGCTGGTAGGAATCTGATGAGCTGTACAGCTCTTTTGCACAGATGTCCAGTAGGTTTCACCGATGTCCAGTAGGCTTTACCCATAAATATCCACGGCACCGTTATGAGTTTGTGAAACGTTACAGCCTGATCGCACATATATAAATAATTCACAAATATCATTGTGAGCGGTCGTCTTAGGGTTAATCCTCAATATTAAGTCTTTCGATATAATCGGGCTGTAAGAGTTATTCGGGGGATAGTCCACGTGTTTAACTATTAGATATCTGTAATACTACTCAATCCATAACTGATATTCATTGATATCCAATAATTTCAAGAACAATGGGTGACAGCTTTTGCGTGGCCATCAGAGCTCCACCGGTTGTCCACAACTGCGAGACGCAAGTCCATGTCAAGGGGAAACATCACGGACCCCATTCTAAACGCAAATACAAGTGGGTGACATCACCCACTTGTATCCGTTTAGGGAGGCTCGGACTCGAGCCTGCTCCAATGACTACGTGAATATTGCACGACCATCTGTAACTGTGCCCTCTATATTGCTTTGGCCTTTGTGGTATTTGTAGCCACGGTAATTTCTAAACTACACGGTGTGATTACGTTATTGGCTCGTCTCAAAATTGGTTATTTGCAGGAAACCGACTTAGCGACTGTCGCCCTGGTGACGAGCCAGGCGCGGCAAGTGAGCAGCATCCATCAGCTTTCCTTTGGGAGCAACCTCGAGGACCGACAATGCCGCTGCTGCTGCTGCCGCTGCTGCTGCTGCTGCTCAGCGTGGCGCATGGGTGGGCGGAGAGAGGACGCACGCAGGGAACTTGTGGGAAAACCGCAAGAAGGGTTTTGGACGTGCAAGCGGTGTTGGTCTAAGAACTATGGTGGAAAATGGTAACCGGTGTAAGAAGCAATGTTGACAAGTATGTTCCAGGTGTGTTACGCCAGTGTGCGACCAGTGTTTGTGGGGGGGTTATCTAAGCCTGTGAAGGGCTATTTCGCCTCGTAATTTCTTAAAACACGGGAATATTAAGTTAACACAATTACTCAATGTATATACCATTAAAATTGCAACACAAAAACGTTTATACATTTCATATATTGAATACGTAGAAGGTATGTTTGTTAACCAATATTTTAATAACTTATGGATGTATATGCTGGTAAATCTGACCAAAATCGAATTCCCTCAAATTAATGAACAAGGCCTTGTCTTTCCACGTAACATTTGAGTGAATAAGGCATTTAGTCTATTAGCTATTGGCTTTAAGATGACGATCTGCAGGAGGAATGCCTTAGAGTAAGGGATTTGTGAAAATAAGGAGATGAGTTGGTGTTACAGGTTGGTCATGTCCGTATGTATGTTGAACTTATTTCGCACCATACGTGGAAAGTGTAGGGGGAAGGACAATAAACTAAGCACAAAAAGCAGTTCTAAGGAAATTAGTTCTCAATCTGGATAAATTAAAAGTGCATAGTTCCAGCGGATTCTGAATATCGGAAGAAGCGTTCTAGACCTCCGCAGAAGCGCATCTGAAAGCGAGTGATGGGTTGACCGTCTTTGTTCGATGGCCAGCTAAACGCTGCGGTGAGGATGACCGCAGTTCACGTGATGGTTTATGCTCATTGAGATCAGCAAGGTATTGTGGTTCATTCGTGGCAAGCACTTTGTGTGTAACGAGCGCGACCTTGCAATGTGTTCGTTCGGCGACCTGAAGCCAATCTAGCTCTGGGAGCAAGGTACGGACATTGTCGGATGCGGTGGCTCCTGGTCAGAGGCGCGCGAGAGCTCGGCGGAGTGAAAGCAATCCAAGAGCCGAGATGAAAACCTGAGTGACGGAGAAAGTTGGGCATCGGGGCGCGACGGGAGGAGCGGTTTACATGCCATTCCAACAACAACAACAAAAACTCCCCGAAGATAAATTCGAGAGAGAATCTGCCTGAGATGGTAATATCAAAGATCGGTAAATGCAGTCACGGTAGAAGAGGTGGAGGAAGAAGCGATGCGGGCAGCCAGCCCTCCGGAGACGAAGCATGAAAAGAGAGGAGTAAAATAATGTGGTGCCACAACGACAGGGCCGCTCTGCCGAGCCAGGGAGCCGCCCGGCTTCCACCACTGCACTGCCCCCCATCACCCCCCCCCCCACATAAGCACGCACCCGCACCCACGTAGGGCCTTGTGGTCGGGTCACCTACCCTGAGTTTTCACCCGAGGGCCCCCTCGGGGGGTTACCCCACGGTTTCTCAGGGCCAGGGAATTGGACAGGACCCTTCCCAGGCTAAGTAACACTGCGGCGCCGTGGGCGGATTTGAGATCGCACGACCACGGCGAGCTCAGAGAGCCCCGCAGTTAGAAACGCATACAAACACAAACACGGGTCAGCAAGGCAGATAGCTAGGATCAGGACCCGGGGCTGCTGCTTAGCAAAAAGGTCAAAAGGCCGGCGGGATCGCAAAAGGGCGGGAAATCCTAGGCTCAGGATTGGTCGAGAGACCAAGGCGGTCGGGACGGGGGCGCCTAGCTTTGATGTGGATAGTTTAAAAGAAAACGCAGGGGCAGTAGGGGACTCTCTTCTTCTGGAGTAGTGACACGGGCTCGACGACGAGGGAGTCATCGGGCGAGCCACAGGATCGTCTGCAGGACGACCTGGGCGCCGCAGGGTCACCTAGGACTACAGACGGTATCGTATTACGCGCCTTACAACACCTCAGAGCGGAGAGTAGGATCCGTAGGAGAGGGTTGGTTCGGGGTAAGGACGAGTAGGAGAGCGGTGTAGCAGAGAGCGCAGCGTAGAATGGGGCTGCACGCCACTAGAGAGTGGGTTGGAAGCGCCTTGCTGGCTCGTACACACACACGGGTGGCTCGGTGAGTTAACAAGGGTTAATAAAATCTCGAGCGTAGTAACAAAACCGTGTTGTTGAGTGTTTTTGAACGTGGTATTAGCGTGCACTGCATTCGCGGGTGTGTGGTCGTTGTGTGCGTAAAGGCCGTGGTCTCTGTACGATGGTGCGGGTACGGAGGTGTGTGTGTTAACGCCCGGGGAGAGCACTTTTGTGTGTTGGCGTGCCTACGCAGCCGTGTGAGAGGAGAGTCGTCCTTGCACGATACTTGTGTTGACGTGCACGCGCGAGTGCGGGAGGGAACGAGTCGTCGTGTCGGCGTGCACCCCGCTCGCGTGTGCGAAACCGCGGTGCGCAGTGAAGCTGTTGGCTTTGTGCGAGCTTGCGTGTGCTCGAGCGCGTAATCGGCTGCGCGTTGTTGTACGGTTTATCTCGCGCGCACGGCGGCGGCAACTTGGGTCGTTGTGTCGGCGTGTGCCCCGCTTGCGTGTGCTCGTTACGTGCGTAAAGTGCGGCGCGGTGGTGAGTTCCTGACCCCCAGCCCCGCGGCTCGAGCGCGTAATCGGCTGCGCATTGTTGTACGGTTTATCTCGCGCGCACGGCGGCGGCAACTTGAGTCGTTGTGTCGGCGCGTGCCCCGTTTTCGTGGCCTCGTGTGATCTCGTGTTATAAGTGTGAACGCGCGTGGTACGGTGTATGCGTAAGCTCTCGTCGTGCGAAATCGGCGTACCCCAGGTGCGCGATCGTAACGTGAGCGGCCAGCGCGGCGCAGAGCGGCGCAAGAGTGAGTGCCGTGCAGAGCTGTGTGTGTGGGAGTGCGCATACGTTCGTTACGTGCCGGATACGGATGCGCATTGGTGGCGTGCCGCACAGGGCTATACTGCGAGCACGGCGTTTGATTGATGATGATGTGCGCACGTATGCTCGCAGCGTGGGAGCGCGGCGCGAGGCTGTAATAGTAGGGGTATCGCGTTCGAATGCCGGCGAAACCGTAGCGGGTAATAGGGAGGTGGGGTAACGTAAACGAATAGGGGGATGCAGGCGGGAGGGACCCCGGGGGCCAACGGCCCCCACAAATTGGTGTCAGAAGTGGGATGGACCCCCGCGTTACCTCACGCTAAAATAAGACTAATATTTACCGGCCGGGGGGCCCCTTCGTGGAAGGCATTCGCCCGCAATCTCTTAGGGGCCAAGGAAATTAATGGATGGACGGACGCGCAGGCAGTACGTCAACTTAATATGAATCTTGATGGGCGGGCAGCCGATTTTGTAGAAGCGTTACCCGCGAGCGCACAGACACAGCTAGAGGAGCTGATGCGCCGACTCGATCAGCGCTTTGGCACGCGTGACGAGGAGGAAGCAAAATCGGCCTTAGAGGCGCGCCGTCGCCAACCTGGCGAAGATCTACGTGATTACGCCGAGGATGTGCGCGAGTTAACAAAGATCGCACGCCCGGGGTACGCAACTGATGTTATTGAGGAACTGGCCGCCGAGAAAATCCAGCGGTACCTGTCTCGCACGGCGTGGTGGCAGCCAGACATGAGCTGCCCACGTCTTCCCTTTAACACCCTTGTCGAGCGCGCACGTAAGTGTGAAAGAATTCACAGCGAACGCGCGCAGCTCCGGGGGCTGGGACGAGAGTGCGCCATTGCGAGCCTGCTCTCGGAAGACGAGGAGGAGGAACAGGAGCTCGCGAGGACGGTAAGGGGCCGGGAAAGAGAGCCTCCAGTGTCCCGCGAGACAACCCCGGGATGGGTTGCCGGTATACAAACGGGTATAAAGGATGTCTCCGGCCAGGTAGCCCAGATAGACAACAAGGTAAACCACGTAGGTGAGAGGGTAACCCAGGTACGCGAG